AGCCGTTAGCTGTTAGCACACACACAGAGCTCACAGCTCCTCATATCTGTTCAGAAACTGAAATAAGTTAAACAAGTACAAAACACAGACTGTCTATGTCATGGCGAATACAGTCGCTGCTTTATTTATATCTGTATGACGTTGTTGTGAGTGTGGACGAAGCAGCTACAGGTTAGTTTAGCCTGGTCGATCCGATTCCGATAGGATTTACATGGAGATACGGCCCGCCCCCTCTCCAGCGTCTTGTTTGAATGACAGGAGTAAACACAGAATTAATGCTTTATTCATTCATGGTTTTTAAGGGGCTTATCTCCATGTAAATACTATGGTAGACTACCCAATATTCGCATCGCTCTAATCCAGGGGTGGGGAACCTCCGGCCCCCGGGCCGTATACGGCCCGCGAGACCATTTGGTGTGGCCCTCGAGGTAATTTATAAACACGCAAAAAAGAAAAAAATTAAAGAAATCTAGACCGCAAAATAATTAAACAAGTGAGTGCCTGTTTTTCCTGGCCAAGGTCAGGGTCCTTGAACACAACACAAGCCTAACGTGTCATCACGTGGTATATGTCTCGTCTGACAGGGGTGTAGTTCTGACGGAGAGCACCAGAACGCCGATCCGCTCCTGCACTTCCAAAAATTGCAGTACCCATAAGGAGCCGTACACATGCTGCAGTTTTTGCGTGGCTGTGTCTTTAGTTGAAAGCCCAGTGGCGATCTGTCATACTGATCATACAGTCAATAACTTTGTTGTTATTAGCATCTGGTTAGCTAGCTATGCTAACGAATATGAGAAGCTTTTTCTACAACCAGTGAGGTAAAGGCACATCTTTATATGATCATTATAGTTATAAAAAAATAAGAGAATAAAGTAAACCGGTATAAAATACTATATGACAGTAAAAAAAGTTGTTATTAATAAACAAGAATACAGTTTGAAAGGAGAGTGATTTGTAAAATATCCATAAAGAAAAAGAAAATCTGCTTACAGTTATGTTTCATATGGGTGTTGAGAGATGTTTCCATAGATCTAATGGTGCTCTCAAAGTGCACCAGATTTAAAGAACATTTAAAAACAAATCTTCCCGGACCCCCCTAGAGGAGGTTAGGTCCCCCCCACTTAAATAATGTTCACATGGATAGGAAACTAAATACATTTGCACACATCTTGTGTCCATATCTTTCTGTTTTGGTGGTCATGCCACAACCGTGCACGTGCATGCATGAGTCATGGCAAGATATCTGGATTAAGAGGTTGCTTTTTCTTTGCACAGCATGAAAGAAAGGTGAAATGAATGGGCTGTGATTTTAGTATTTTTAAGCAGAGGTCAATAATTTGTACGGCCCTCGGAGGATGTTGAAAACATTGAAATGGCCCTTGAGAGGAAAAAGGTTCCCCACCCCTGGTCTAATTGCTCGAGTTTCACCGCGGCTCTCAGCTGTGTTTGCTCCTGTCATTCAAACAAGAGGCGCTGGAGAGGGGGCGGGGCGTATCTCCATATAAATCCTATGGGAGATACCAACTACAACAAAATGAACATATTTGACCGTAATTTAATTGTAATACATGTTTCAAAGTGATGCCGAAGCAGCTACATACTGATAACGGTTAGTAAAAACCATGAATTAACGCTTTGACAAGTCTGCAGATAAGACGGCAGGCGAAAAGCTTTTGAAATGCGTGCTTTCTGAATGGAATCGGATCCATCAGGCTCGTGCTTCTCAAAGTGTGGTCCGCGGACCACTGGTGGTCCGTGAGCGCCCCCTAGTGGTCCGTGAGTATATTGGTAACATTTTTAATTAATTAATTAATTAAAGTTTTTCGCACTCTCGCGGGAATATCTCCGCAATGGAGCGAGTTTAAGTTTCAATTGCATAATATAGCCCAGATAAACACCTTCATCACACATGTTGCCACTTGTTTGTACCATTTTCAGGCAATTTGTAAAAAACGATGTGTTTTTGGACATTTGTGGAGTTAGGTGGTCCGCGAGTGTTTTTTTATTGGTTAAGTGGTCCTTGGTATGAAAAAGTTTGAGAAACACTGGCTAAACTAACCTGTAGCTGCTCCGTCCACTCTCACAACAACGTCATACAGACATAAATAAAGCAGCGACTGTATTCACCATGACATAGACAGTCTGTGTTTTGTATATGTTGAACTTTTGTCCAGTTTCTGAACAGATATGAGGAGCTGTGAGCTCTGAGTGTGTGCTAACGGCTGATGTGTTGGGACATATTTCGCTGTCGGGTGTTGACCAATCACGAAGCGTCATTTCTTGACTGGCAGCAAAAACAACCAATCACAGCATCTGGCTGGCTCTGTCCAATCACAAACAAGAAGTGTTCTCCCTAAGGAATACCCTTTCCGTCCAATGTGAAATGCTGTGGTGTTTTGTGAAATTCTGTTGTGTTTTCTGAAATGCTGTGGTGTTTTCTGAAATGCTGTAGTGTTTTCTGAAATGCTGTGGTGTTTTCTGAAATGCTGTGGTGTTTTCTGAAATGCTGTGGTGTCTTGCACTTCAGGGCCACCATACTTTTCTACAACCAGGTGGAAGAGAGCTCTCTCCTGAGAGGCTAAAATAACGTCAGCTCAGTGAGGTTAAGACACACCTTGATATGATCATTATAGTTATTAATGAGACATTAGAGACTACATGAAAAACAGGTATAAAATACGATATGACAGTAACAAAAAAGTTGTTACAAATAACAAGAATAGAGTTTGAAAGGGGAGTGATTTGTAAAATATCCAAAAAGAAAAATCTGCTTACAGTTCTGTTTCATATGGGTGTTGAAAGATGTATCCATAGATCTCTTCATGTTGCTCTCAAAGTGCACCAGATTGATGCTTTCAACTTCAATATTTAAAACAAAATCTTCCGGGGGAGCATGCCCCCTAGAGGAGGTTAGGTCCCCCCCCCCACTTAAATCATAGGATAGGAAACTAAATACATTTGCATACATCTTGTGTCCATATCTTTCTGTTTTGGTGGTCATGCCACACCGTGCACATGCATGCATGCGCGAGTCATGGTCAGATATCTGGATTAAGAGGTTGCTTTTTCTTTGCACAGCATGAAAGAAAGTTTGATTTTAGTATTTTTAAGCAGAGGTTGAGTTCAATAATTTGTACGGCCCTCGGAGGATGTTGTAAAAATTGAAAGGAGTTCCCCACCCCTGCTGTAAATAATAATAAAAACCCTTGATTTATAACTTAACATCTCTGTCTCCTATTGATCTGAGTATATTATAAAGAATAGCAGTTAATTGAAGCATTATAGCACAGGCCTTTGTCAGATGGTATATTACGCTGTTTTTTTTCTGCTTCGAATAGTTCTCTCTTTTTTCACCACCTGTGTTTGCATCACTGATTACAAGCATTCACTCTGATATCTAGAGAGCTTGGGCGCCTGATGTCCACTTTCGTCCGGGGTCATACGAGGTCACACGTGACTTTCTTGACATAAATATTCGACATGCGCGAGACAGAAGATATCCAGTGCTAAGCACTGCCTCTGGCAGTTATCCAGGATTCATAGAACCATAGTTACATACGTAACTTTCGTTTTTCTAATTATAAACGAATAATATGAAAAATCTTAATGTACAATGTTTATCCCTCAGTACTTGAGCTCATTGGTTCCTACTGTAAATGTCAAAATGAAAATAAAACTCACACAAATATAGATTGGTGACAGGCAGCTAACGTATTGACATGTACATGTAGATTTTTCTCATGTTTCTCATCCAGAAAGAGGTAGATAATTGGTAGAGGACTATTTTCTGTTGCAGAGTAAATTCAGATCTTAATGTTTTCTATTTGTGATTGAAGGACAGTGCATGTGGGATTGAGTCAAAATAATGAATGTATTGGCGGAGTCAGGATCAGCTTTATTGTCAATTTGTCATGTACAGTATGTTTACACATTCGGAGCTTATTGCTCTCTATGAACGTACACAGAAATAGATACACGGCTAATATAAAGAACCAGTAAGCTGAACAGGACCAACTACCTGTGCATACATATATGCAGTACACCCACACAGCTGCTAGGTCATCTGCAGCCTTAAAAACAGACAAATAGACCAGCGGTTCCCAACCTACCACTAGTGGTCCACGAAGGCATTGCAAGTGGGCCGCCAAATAGTTTAATTCTTTATTTTTTTGTACAGGCTAAAGACACAAACATGGTCTTTAGCAATAACATAAAGAGATGACATTCCCATCTCAGACAACAACAAAACAAAAACAGAAGAAATAAAGATACAGTCGGTAGGATCACTTCAACATTTCACAAACAAAAATAGGTTGACAACCAAATACCACCAAAAACACAACATGGCACGCATATTTATTGTTCCTTTAATCCCACTCTTCGTTAGAGCTAATTATTTCCCATTTCATGGCGTGTTCAGCCACCCTTTGATTTTTTCTGGCAGTCATTTTTTTCAAAATAAATTGTATTTTTAATCTACTCTTCAAACACCTTAAATTAAGATTACTCCTTGATTGACTTGACTGAATATGTATTTTAGCCAGAAGAATAGTTGTATTTATTAACTGTGCGCGGTCTTCATCTAAAAGCCCAAATAAAATATGAAAGGGTGTAAATGTAAATTCAATATTTGTCGCCAAATAATTTGCAAAACATTCTGATTTGTGTGGAAACATTTTCATTATTAAGATTTTTTTTGTTTTAACCTCTTTTCCTTTCTCTTTCTTGATCCTCCTTGGTCATTACAGTCCTTATCTGTTCTGGATTTACAACGTGTCACATGTTCTGAATTGACTAATCAGAACTTTATTTAGCCTCCGTATTGTTTATGGTTGAATGTGGGCTGCGAAAATGTGATTCTTAAGTGGGCCCTGAGTTGAAAAAGGTTGGGAACCGCTGAAATAGACTATTCGATTGCAACCCAGGCCTGTAACTCTGCCAAGAAGAAGCGGCCATCTCCTATCACATCTTAATCATTTTGTTCTTTCCCCCTTACACAGCAAAACGCCTGCAAGATGCTGAAGAACGGTGAAGCAGGGCCTCACTTCATGGCCTCTCCTCAGTGTGTGGGCTACAGCCGCAAGACAGCGCTGCCTCTCTCCATGGACATGTGTCTGCCCGACCTGACGGAGATCCTCAGGGCCGTCAGGCTGTGGGTGAAGAACACCTCCGCCCGCTCCGTCTACATCGCCACCGACTCAGAGTCCCACAGCAGGGACATCCAAAAGCTCTTCAACGGCAAGGTGTGTACAACCTCTGTGATGCATTCACATGTGTCATAAATTACTTCTGGCTTCATTTCTGTCATGTGTTATAACAATCAGACTGCTTGATTTATCCTGGGAGGGGGCAGTTTCTCCATTTTAGGATGAAATAAAATAAAAGATAAATACAAAAATGTAATGGACTCGCTTCTTTTTGACTGTGCTAGTTGTCACAACTAGCACATTCTTTACACAGTCAACATGCCTTAACCCAGAAGACCTTGAGTCTGAGTCCAGATTTGCATGCAAACTACGCCATTTGTCTAAAATGGAAATATTACAGTTTTTGACACCAAGCATTTTAAGAATGTCCAAAAATGGTTTATTTGTGTTTTTCCAGGTGAAAGTGGTGAGTCTACAGCCCGACTCGGCCCAAATGGACCTGTACATCTTAGGCCGAGCCGAGCACTTCATCGGCAACTGTGTCTCCTCTTTCTCCGCCTTCGTGAAGAGAGAGCGGGACGTCCACGGCCTCCCATCATCCTTTTTTGGCATGGACAAGCCTGGAAAATTAAATCAAAAAGAAGAACTCTGAGAACAAAGGTTACATGGTCATCCTGGAGGACTGTAATGAGGAGGTGAGGGAACAAGTGGAAGGCAAAGAATATTTAAATGTGACATGAGGGTTCAGGAAGGCTGGTCCTGTTTTAGAATGGGTTTTAATGTGAGAAGGAGGAAGGGCTTATAAAGTATGATGCAGCATGTCAGTACTGTCTGTGAAAAGTGCTATGATATGGACACAGCTGCCACCAAGGAAAACTATTTTTGTCTGTTACCTGCTTGAAAATCCAATATTTGCACCCTCCCAAGATTTTCCATCCATAAGCCTGTCAAAGCTAGTTTTCCTTACGATCAGGAAAAGCAACAGATCCTCTAGCATTTCCTTTAGCTTCTGCCATAGTCTGTGCTGCCACCATGCTTTGCAATCCAGACATGTTCGCAGGACCTCTGGTGACCTCAGTGAACCCTGAAAAAGACGGCAGTGCCAGTGATCATGTTCCCTCCCTCTCTTTTTCCCTCTTCTCTTTCCACCCCTCCATGTCTTTTCCTGCTTGCTCTTTCCTTTCCTCTCTGCCCTCCATTCCAAGGAAGGAAAAAGGAGACCGTTAACTGAACAGTATTGATATTCATTGAATGTGAATAAATGTATTAGGATGACAAAAAAGTAGATTTGCAGAGGTTAAATTGATTAAATGCGGTTGTGGAATGTGTGTCAAGCTAATTGTGTTCCTCTGTGAATGCAATGATTTTTAAGTCGAATGTTTTGTATAATGTTTTCCAACATTAAAGTGATGCACACTATTTTGTTTTAAGTACAAACCGCCTCTGTTTACATCCGTGAGTGCAAGCTTAGCTGTGAGTACGGTGGAATCAGCTGATATACTAAGCTATGTTGAGACCTGGTTGCCAGTTAAGCCAGGGAACCCTGCATCTGTATTCTTCATAATGCTAGTGTTGCGTTTAACGCCTTGTTATTCACATTCGACGTTTTACGTTTTTTGAGACTGTGTGCTTAACTCTAAAATACATGCTCACTTTAGAAGCGCATTTTTTTATACGGGTTAATGTGTTTTCATAGGTTTTCACACGCACCTCTTTACGGGGATATGTGTTCGAATCTGGCAACCGTGTTGCGGGACCGCTGTGGGGATGAGCAGCGGCTAATGGCTGACTGGGAGTTCTGATTAGCTTGCTGCTGGTAAGTCTTTATCGACATATTTGTGTCTTCTGTAAAACGCTGTGTTTGTATTACAACGGTGTAATGTGACTAATGTGATTTTTACATTTTTGTATGGTGATATATTTTATGGATTTATGCCCCTCCTGCTAGCGATAGCCAGGTAATGCTACCAGTCCTGTGGCTTCGGTTACTAGTGTTTGTCGTTGCTAGGCCGGTTTTGTGGTCTCGTTATGGTCTGCATTTGGCATAAGCTAACGGTGGTTAGCTCTGCCGAACGCTTCTTTAAAAAAACATTGCTAACATCGTTTGAGCAGCTATTAATCCGCGGGTTATCAACCTGCTACGGCGGACGCATTGTTGTCATTGTATATCCTGGAATTCCACTGAGGTCTAACAGCGAAGTTTATGCCTGCCGGTTAACGGGCTACATGCAGTTAGTCAGCTAAAACGGTGTAGTGGCTCCCCTGTGTGTATAATACATAAGAAGCCGTGGTGCAAAGTAACTAAGTAGACTTACTTAAATACTGTACTTCCACTACAATTCAGAGTTACATAGTGTACTTTAACTCCACTACATGTATTTAATACCTTTAGTTTCTTTACATATTTGGATTAATGATGTGAAATACAATCAAGTCTTAAATCAGACTTTATACCTGGAGTAAATTAAAGCTGAGTACTTCTCCCACCTCTGCACTTAAGTAACATAGTGAAAATATGTTTTATTTGGGCCAACTAAAATCTAACATAATAATTTCTCGGGTGTATTGTAACATCTGGAACAAATATCATTAGGCTTTACCTACGCTTGTGTTTCCACAGGTATAAGGACTTGTCAAGACTAAAGATTACTGAGCTGCAGTACAGGTGTCAGTGTCATGATAGCTAACTATCTCAATAAGAAGTCTGTCAATAGCTTTGACATTGAACTTTATTGATTCTTCCAGCCTGACTGTAAAAATGTGTATGATGCATTTACTGTGAAGGTTGTGAGTCACCATGAGTGTTTCCTTGCAGGTCTGTATTAACCATTGAATGTGTTTTCCCTAACAGTTTGTGATGTGGGACCTTGTTTTGGTGAACCATTCCTGAAGGTGCATTTGGAAGAAAGCCTACGAGTGCCAGGCCGTGTAGGGTTGGCAGCCGCTTTGCAACATGTCCAAAAGCAAGAGCTCGGAGTCGATCAAGGTGGTGGTCCGCTGTCGCCCAATGAATGAAAAAGAAAAGGCAGCCAAGTTTGAAAGGGTCGTCTCTGTCGACGTGAAACTGGGCCAAATAATTGTCAGGAACCCTAGGGAGGCTGCTGCCAATGAACACCCCAAAGTCTTCACTTATGATTCAGTATACGACTGGAACTCTAAACAAATAGATTTGTATGATGAAACCTTCAGGCCCCTGGTGGACTCAGTTTTACTTGGGTTCAACGGGACCATTTTTGCCTATGGTCAGACGGGTACAGGAAAAACATACACCATGGAGGGGGTGAGAAATGATCCAGAGAGGAGAGGGGTGATCCCAAACTCATTTGAGCATGTCTTCACTCACATATCCCGCTCCCAGAATCAGCAGTACTTGGTGAGAGCATCCTATCTAGAAATCTACCAGGAGGAGATCAAAGACCTGCTCTCCAAAGACCAGACCCGCCGCCTCGAGCTCAGAGAGAGGCCTGACACCGGTGTGTATGTGAAAGACCTTTCCTCATTTGTCACTAAGAGCGTGCGGGAGATTGAACATGTCATGAACGTGGGCAACCAGAATCGATCAGTGGGTGCCACGAACATGAATGAACACAGCTCCCGTTCTCATGCTATCTTCGTCATCACCGTGGAGTGCAGTGAGCTGGGTGTGGATGGGGAGAACCATATCAGAGTGGGCAAACTGAACCTGGTAGATCTAGCAGGAAGTGAAAGGCAGACCAAGACTGGTGCTCAGGGGGAGCGGCTCAAAGAAGCCACGAAGATCAACCTGTCGCTTTCTGCTCTGGGGAACGTCATATCATCTCTGGTGGACGGCAGGAGCAGCCACATCCCGTACCGAGACTCCAAACTCACCCGCCTGCTGCAGGACTCTCTGGGAGGAAATGCCCGCACAGTTATGGTGGCCAACATCGGCCCTGCATCCTACAACCTGGAGGAGACACTGACAACGCTGCGCTACTCCAACAGGGCTAAGAACATTAAAAATAAACCACGTATCAATGAGGACCCCAAAGATGCCTTGCTGAGGGAGTTCCAGGAGGAGATCGCAAGGCTGAAGGAACAGCTGGAGAAGCGCTCCGGAAAGAAGAAAAGGAGGAGGAGGAGGAGGAAGGGTGGGGAAGGGAGCGACGGTGAGGATCTGGAGGAAGGGGAGACGGAGGAGGATGAGGAAGAAGGGGAAGATAAAGGGGATTACTGGCGGGAGCAGCAGGAGAAGTTGGAGAGCGAGAGAAAAGCCATCATGGAGGATCACAGTCTGGTGGCTGAGGAGAAACTCCGGCTGCTCAAAGAGAAAGAGAAGAAGATGGAAGACCTGAAGAGGGAGAAGGACGCCGGGGAGATGCTGTCAGCCAAAGTGAAGGTGGGCTGATCCAAACTTTTTCTGTACATCCCGTGTGACTGATTGATTTGATTTGAGAAGAAACGGTGTAGCATAGACTACAGAGGTGGGAAGTAACTAAGTACATTTACTCAAGAACTGTACTCCAGTAAAATGTTGAGGTAAATGTACTTTACTAGAGTATTTCCATTTAATGCTACTTGATACTTCTACTCCACTACATTTATTAAACAGCTTTAGCTACAAAATGCATATCTTAAAATTAAACTAATGGACGAACTGTTTAAAGGGGGGGTAGGTCATTTCAGAGAAACCAGCTCGACTGCGCTAGAATTAGAAAATACACAGCCGGAACAAATCTGCCACTTCCTCACAGAGCCCCTCCTCCAACACACACGAACGCGCACATGACCAATGAGGGCACGAGGTAAGTTTGTGCACAGATGGAAGGCTGACAGGCAGGTAGGCCATCCAGTTACTTTAGCCGGGCCGGCTCAGATGATTGGTCGTGCTTTTTACAGCGCTACGGCTTCCACAGATGATGTTTTTTATGGATTTTTTGTCAAAGCACTTAAGATATTCATTGCTATCGGGATGTTAAGAGCATTCCATGGAATATAACAAGTGTATCTCGAGCCGGTTTCTCAAACTTACCTACTCCACCTTTAATTCACAGAAGAGTCAAATTATTAAAATATTTCACAAAAGGTCAATCAGAACTTTTTTTGTCTACAACAGTAAAATGCTACTTGATGCAACAATATTATCTAGGAATGTCACATGTACATTTTAAGTACATTTAGCTGATAATAGTTTTGTACTTTCACTGAGTTATGTGAGATTCTAAATGCAGCACTTTTACTTGAAATTAGTATTTTGACAATATTGTATTAGTGCTACTACTTAAAGTGAACCTATCATAATATATTTGAAACATATATTGTAGGGCCATGCCTATATCAAGTATATAAATAAACTATTTTTCTTAGCGGATGCATGTCAATTTAAATCAATACAACTATTTTTTAAATCCATAAAATCATTTTCTAAATCCATAAAATCATTTTCTAAATCCATAAAAGCATTTCAATTCATATTGGGAGTCATATCGTTACTTTGTTGAGAATATGGCCATGAAAAGAACACCGACATGCCGATCTAGATCCCTCCGCTTGGCGTCGGGCTCCTGATCAGCCTGTCGGTGTTCTTTTCCCCATAATGACCGCGTCGCTGCACATTATCCCTTATATGATTATATAGAGTCATTATTCATTTGTTTTAAAGCATGAGGCGCAAACGCTTGCCTCGGGGAGGGAGAAAAAGAGCCACAGCGGAGAATAAACAGAAGGGCAACCATGGCAACCATGCAAGGGAAGTCTTCTTCGCTGCTTTTGTGGCAGACTACAGCGCCACTTACAGGCCTGGCATATGTACTACAGCGTCTCCAGCGCTTTCAAGCGGCAATGGCCGGCCGTGGCCCAACCTCTCATTCCCCTGATAGGTGGAGAATTGACCAATAGCCGTAGCACCACTTTACTGACATCAGTAAAGTGTTCAAATCTGGATCAGTCTGTATCAGATCCGTTGCAGCCCCTTTTTTAGAGATTTGGGTATGGAGGAAAAGAGAGAGGGTTGTGTTTTCTGACACTTGGTGAGTTCCCTGGAACACCGGGGACACATCTTCATGCATAAAAGACGTACAAGAGTGCATTTTGCATGATAGCTCCCCTTTAAGTAAAGCACCTGAATACAATTGATAGACTCCAAATTCAGATTCTCTTTCTTTGGATTCTATAAACACAAGCCAGTGGATAAACTCATTATACCCTGCTGGCCAAACTGTTTTTGTATTTGCTGATGAAATGTGTCAGTTGTCAATGCTTCTTCTCCCCAATGGGACTTGGTTTCATCCTCTTCTTTTTTTCTTTACAACCCAGGCAATGGAGAGTAAGCTCCTGGTGGGGGGGAAGAACATTGTGGATCACACCAATGAGCAACAGAAAATGCTGGAGCTGAAGAGGCAGGAAATCACGGAGCAGGTACACCACATCCCCGTAATATGAGTTACGCTTTCAGTAAGCAATGCCTTGAAGGTCACATTTCAGTCAGCAATGTATTGCTGCTAACAGGAAAGCTGTTTTTTTGCTGGGGGAGGGGGACAAATGCATAAAGATAGTTTATTTTGTACTTATAACAGCAAAACAGAACCTCCCTGCTGGGGCCTGAGGTATCACTCACGTTGCCCACTGACAAAGCTATGTATTGGGCCAGAGTGCCTTTTTTGGAGAGTTGAAAGGGGGAGACCGAGGGGAGGACATTGCCTGAAACGTTTGGCTTACTCAGCAGCAGTCAGCGCTGACAAGTTTGGTCAACTTTTGTTAATTTGAGATATAAGAACGTTTTAAAACTATTTTTTCAAAGGTTTCATTGTCATATGCACAAAAGCTACAGTGTAGTTATGGGAATGAAACACTTAAGTCCCAGGCTCCTTCAATAATGCTACTTGAATATATGAGTGCAAAAGAAACAGAGTAGAATTAAAATAGTGCAAGAGAATGTTTGAAGTGACCAATGTACAAGTACATGTGTAAGAAGTACACTGTTTACATGTAAAGTAGAAAAAGAAGAGCAAAAACAGAACTTCAAATGTATAATCTTCCCTTTGTGCTGAACCTTCTGGGGTGAAGGTCTGGTACACAAACCAAATACACAAACTGTTACACGATGGGAATGAATGCTGTCAGGATGAGATGAAATCATTTCTGATGCTTTGTGGGCACCAGGTGTAGACTGCGAGACTTGGGTCACTATTTTCTGTCCCAGATACACTGCTTAGATCTAAAACAACACATCCGTGTCTTCATCCTGTTGGGAGCGTCCTCAGATGCTTTCATGGAATCAGACAGAATAAAACCAGTGCCACTTAAAAATAGCACCAATCGTTTTTTGGGCAAAATATACTGCTGCTTTAATCTATGGCAGGAAAGAGAACGGCAAGGGGAGGGGGTTATAGAGCAGGAGGTCAGCAGGTCAGAGTTCAGGACGTACAGATGGTGCTAATGGTGCTAATGCTTCAGTGAAACAATGAGGTAAATGCTGTAAGAAGATATCAACAGAGCCTGTAGAGAACAAGTATCAAATCAGGTTTAAGAGTCAGGGTAGGGTTTAAGGACATCTTGCCCGAACAACGAATATAGATTTTCAAGTGTAATCTATCATTAAAGATCGAAAAACCCAGGCGTGTGCTTATCTCTAACAATCAAAGGAAATGAACTGGTATGTCATGAAGAATAGGGCCCAGGCTCAACATCAGACTTATTGTTTGACAATTTGAAAGTCCGTTGACAGTAAGCCTAGGAAATCCTATTATTTGCTAATGTAGCTTTAGCATTTGGATGTTAGTAGCAATTTCCCATCCCTTGTGTGTCTGTAGTCCTTATAATCAGACCCACTTCTTGCATTATGGGCCCTGTAGGGCATTACATTGGATGAGGAACATTTTACCTGACACTATCAAGCTTAACTGATGTGTGTCCCACATGTGTGAACGTGTGTGTGTTTGTTGGTTCCCAGAAACGGCGAGAGCGGGAGATGCAGCAGCAGATGGAGAGTCGAGACGAGGAGACTCTGGAGCTGAAGGAGACGTACAGTTCTCTGCAGCAGGAGGTCGACATCAAAACCAAGAAGCTGAAGAAGGTAGCAGCTCCAAGCTTTCATGGCTGTCCTGCTTCTTTGAGCTGTTAACAATCAATATATTAGTACATAAAAGGAGCACTTCTTGTAATGGTACCGCATGGCTATAACGTTTTAAAAACCTGGCGCTCAGAACTTGTGAGGCTTTATATATCTGTTGATAAAATGCTTTGCAAGTATATATGACAGGTTGTATTTCAAATCAAGCAAGAATACCCCATAGGCTTTGTTGCTTGATTTGGATATTCCATTTTTAAGGCTGGATTAATTTACCAAGTCTGAATATTATAAAATACTTTTTCCATCATGGTTAATGGACCCTGGCTTCCTGTCTCCTTCTCTGTCCTCCAGCTGTTTGCCAAGCTGCAGGCAGTGAAGGCAGAGATCCACGACATCCAGGAGGCGCACATCAACGAGCGGCAGGAGCTGGAACAGACCCAGAACGAGCTCACCCGAGACCTCAAACTCAAGTACGCAGTCTGCATATCACTATGGCTGCCCTCGACTAAAAATGTTTCTCGTCGATTAGTCGACTAATCGTCGCACGTTTATGATAAATTATGATTATAAATATATCTTTTTTAATTATAATTGTTTTCTCCCCAAATGGCTGATAAAGAGCGTTATTATAACAGCATGGTACGTTGTGCTTCACATCAAATATAAACAGGGATGCAAACTTGTCACCTTTCGGCGAAATTCGCCGTTTTGAATCCAGTGTGTGATTCATGTAGATCTGCAATAAAAATATTTTTGGGGTATGGGGGGGGGGTCTTACCCGTAGGTAATGTAGCTGCTGAAGCTAGACCATCATCGCGGCTGGCAGATTACTTTACTATTCTTTCCTAAACAATCAAACATTGTACACAGATATATTGGTGCTTGGGATTATTGGCCCCAGAAAGAACCTTGAAAAAGAACATGTGTGTGTGTTAGTGAGGGGAAGTGTATGTGTGTGTGTGTGTGTGTGCGTGCTGATAAGCAGAGGCGTATGTGTGTGTGTTGCTGATATCTGGGTCAAGGAGTTTATGTGTGTGTGCTGGAGACAGGGGGTGTATGTGTGTGTGTTGCTGATATCTGGGTCAAGGAGTTTATGTGTGTGTGCTGGAGACAGGGGGTGTATGTGTGTGTGTTGGCGATATCTGCCTTATGGAGTGTAGGTAAGAAGGTTTATATATATATAGGATTACTTCAAAACAGTCCCAAATAATACATGTTCACTTCAATACAGTTCAAGATAATACCTGTTTACTTTAATACAGTTTAGAACAATATCTGGGTGCTTTACTAGCTAGCATACATTGTCACTATCTGCTAACGTTAGCTTTAGCCTTCGTTTTCTAATAGTTTTTTTCATAGGCTATAAACAGAGGTGGTATAAGTATAGATCTTGTACTTGAGTAAAAGTAGAAGTACTCAGATCTTGTACTTGAGTAAAAGTAGAAGTACTCAGATCTTGTACTTGAGTAAAAGTAGAAGTACTCAGATCTTGTACTTGAGTAAAAGTAGAAGTACTCAGATATTGTTCTTGAGTAAAAGTAGAAGTACTCAGATCTTGTACTTGAGTAATAGTAGAAGTACTCAGATCTTGTTCTTGAGTAAGAGTAGTAGTACTCAGATCTTGTACTTGAGTAAAAGTAGAAGTACTCAGATCTTGTACTTGAGTAAAAGTAGAAGTACTCAGATCTTGTACTTGAGTAAAAGTAGAAGTACTCAGATCTTGTACTTGAGTAAAAGTAGAAGTACTCAGATCTTGTACTTGAGTAAAAGTAGAAGTACTCAGATCTTGTACTTGAGTAAAAGTAGAAGTACTCAGATCTTGTACTTGAGTAAAAGTAGAAGTACTCAGATATTGTTCTTGAGTAAAAGTAGAAGTACTCAGATCTTGTACTTGAGTAAGAGTAGTAGTAGTACTCAGATCTTGTACTTGAGTAAAAGAAGTACTCAGATATTGTACTTGAGTAAAAGTAGAAGTACTCAGATCTTGTTCTTGAGTAAAAGTAGAAGTACTCAGATCTTGTACTTGAGTAAAAGTAGAAGTACTCAGATCTTGTTCTTGAGTAAAAGTAGAAGTACTCAGATCTTGTTCTTGAGTAAAAGTAGAAGTACTCAGATCTTGTACTTGAGTAATAGTAGAAGTACTCAGATCTTGTTCTTGAGTAAGAGTAGTAGTAGTACTCAGATCTTGTACTTGAGTAAAAGAAGTACTCAGATATTGTACTTGAGTAAAAGTAGAAGTACTCAGATCTTGTTCTTGAGTAAAAGTAGAAGTACTCAGATCTTGTACTTGAGTAAAAGTAGAAGTACTCAGATCTTGTTCTTGAGTAAAAGTAGAAGTACTCAGATCTTGTACTTGAGTAATAGTAGAAGTACTCAGATCTTGTTCTTGAGTAAGAGTAGTAGTACTCAGATCTTGTTCTTGAGTAAAAGTAGAAGTACTCAGATCTTGTACTTGAGTAAAAGTAGAAGTACTCAGATCTTGTACTTGAGTAAAAGTAGAAGTACTCAGATATTGTTCTTGAGTAAAAGTAGAAGTACTCAGATCTTGTACTTGAGTAATAGTAGAAGTACTCAGATCTTGTTCTTGAGTAAGAGTAGTAGTACTCAGATCTTGTACTTGAGTAAAAGAAGTACTCAGATATTGTACTTGAGTAAAAGTAGAAGTACTCAGATCTTGTTCTTGAGTAAAAGTAGAAGTACTCAGATCTTGTACTTGAGTAAAAGTAGAAGTACTCAGATCTTGTTCTTGAGTAAAAGTAGAAGTACTCAGATCTTGTACTTGAGTAAAAGTAGAAGTACTCAGATCTTGTACTTGAGTAAAAGTAGAAGTACTCAGATCTTGTACTTGAGTAAAAGTAGAAGTACCAGAGTGCAGGAATACTCTGTTACAGTAAAGGTCCTGCATTCAAAATGTTACTCAAGTGAAAGTAGAAAAGTATTCTCATCAAAATATAGTGAAAGTAGCGACAGTAAAAGTATTCATTGTGCAGATTGGTCCATTTCAGAATAATATATATGCTATGTTTTATAATGATTGATCATGAAAGTGTTCTCAAAGCTGGTAAAGGTGCAGCTAGTTTGAATGACTTTGTATACTGCAGGGTAGCTGGTGGATTTACTCCAGGTGGAACTAAAGTCTGATTCAACACTTGATTATATTTCACATCATTCTTCCAGGTCTGTGAAGTAACTAAAGGTATTAAATACATGTAGTGGAGTAAAAGTACACCATGTACCTCTGAACTGTAGTGGAGTAGAAGTACACAGTACCATAACATGGAAATACTCAAGTAAAGTACAAGTATCTCAAAATTGTACTTAAAGGTGGGTAGGTAATTCACTTCAGATACACTTGTTGTTATATTCCATGGAATGCTCTTAACATCCCGATAGCAATGAATATCTGAAGTGCTTTGACAAAAAATACATAAAAAACATCATCTGTGGAAGCTGTAGTACTGTAAAAAGCACGACCAATCATCTGAGCCGGCCCGGCTAAAGTAACTGGATGGCCTACCTGCCTGTCAGCCTTCCATCTGTGCACAAACTTATCTCGTGCCCTCATTGGTCATGTGCGCGTTCGTGTGTGTTGGAGGAGGGGCTCTGTGAGGAAGTCTGGCGGAAGAGGCAGATTTTTTTCGGCTGCGTAGTTTCAAATTCTAGCGCACTCGAGCTGGTTTCTCCATTCTTACCGACCCTACCTTTAAGTACAGTACTTGAGTAAATGTACTTAGTTACTTACAACACTGCTCATATTTAATCCGTATGAACCTGGAAAAAGAGGGACTTGATTTTCAGGAAACATTAACTGAATCTGAGGTTTATCTTATCCACCATTGCCTTTAGGTTAATATAGATACAATTACTGATTGTCTGTAAAAGCGTAGCTTACAGAAACAATCCCACTGATTTCTGGGTTTTGGTGTCTTTCAGCTAACATCCTGTTATTCCTCATTTTAAAGCCGATATTCCGTGGGGTCGGGGGGGGGCTTGGGTCCTTGTCACCTTTTTCATACCTGATGACTTTGCATCCCTGATAAAATAAAACTGTAATAATGAACCTTTGAAATCGAAATGAAATGTAGAGAGCGCATGAGTCACAGCGCACGGACGCAGCGGTATACATGAAAGCTTTATCGTTTTCTGAGGGCAGAATGATTATATTGTAACGTCTTGCTATAGGAACACAGGGAGGCTTTGTATGTCTTTTATCCGGGAGTTTATTAATAATCAGAATACCTTTATTACTCCCACAGAGGGGACATTTACGTTGTTACGTTTATATAACGATCACAGGTTAACCACGCCAAAATAATGAAATAACTCTGTTAAATCCTCACTCACATACTCCGTCAGCTCTCTCGTATTATTCTCTCTCTAGGAATCTCTCTCTTCACAGCTCCCTGTTTTGTTATGAAGCCAGCATTCAGGAAGCTGGGCTGTGATGGTGTGGATATGGAGGAGACTTTTTGCCTTTGTAGTTTGCATGTCACCTTGTGGGACTCGTCCTTTACTCGCTCAGAAAGATCCACACTTTGGATTTCCTGCTCGACCAAATTAACTTAAAGGGATAGTGGAAATGGAACCTCAAATAGTTTCGTTTTAACTTATATACAAGCATAATTACGTACCAAAACAATCACACCTGATTAAAAAAATATAATAATTGCCTTACGCATGTTAGAAGCACTTTATTGCAGCTTCCCCGAAGTTTTTTAGAAACGAAATGTTCGACTCAGCCAAACCGGAAGTGACGAAAACTTAGGAAGACGATACGATAACAAACCATGGCGTCTATGCAGAATGAACGTGGAAGGGCAAATATACCAGACAAAGAAGAAGGATTGTACGAGGTATCCAGTGATGATAGCGAGTCAGAAACATCCTCTCGGCTTTCCTACGAAAATGTCGTTTTAGGAACTGAATCTGAATCCGGTTCAGTAAGCAACGATGGTGACAATATTGAGCCAGACGATGGACCATTACGTCCTTATTTGTTCGAGCCCGAGGTGATGGTTCACGGCATGGGCAATGGCGAGGATGACCAGGACCAGGCGCCAGATGATGCACCCCTACGCACAAATAATCTTGACTGGTAGGTCCCTAAGCATAGCTCACGCATCTTAAGATCACCTGTAGCCTTTACAAATATTAATCATTGTTAACCAGTTAAGCCCGAAGGTCCCCCCAGTGGACCCCTCCCACAGTTTTTTCTCTCTCACATGTCTCAGGGCTTCTTAACATTTATGAAACTATTAATGTTTCATACCCTTTTAAAGGTAAGAAACTCCGCTAACTGACAATAAGAACAATTGTTAGCTAGAAAAAACACAAGAGTAATACCAAGCCTTTGAATTAGCATTGAGCGAAACAATGCTAACTAATGCTAACGCTTTTTTACACACAACACACGGTAGAAATGCCCTTATTACTATCTTAACTACACAAACAAGATATACGATTTAAAGCTGACACTCCACAGATTCCACACATGTAATCTCATCACTGTAAGACCTCGAATTCCTGGAGCTATCAGCCAGAAAAGAGAAAGTAAACAACATCCGGTTCCAAAAATATTACAATAATTACGTCTTACCTTTTTTGATTTGTGATCAAAAGTTGTGTTCAACGGAATAAAAACGCATCTCAAGGTTAATCCAATGTCGTTGTGTCACGTAGAATTATTACGATACGCCATTCTCTGCATTTGCTGTCGCACTACAGCCATACAAAACACATCTATTCACCATAATAAAGGTCGGCTATTCACATGCAAATGCTATTGAATGTCCGCCATTGTTTGTGCCCGTCTTCCTATGCTCTCGTCATCACCCGAAGATTCCCGACGATTCCCGAAGTATTTCGTTTCATTGAGAGGGCGCAGTAAAATTGAAAATAAAATGAAACTAGGCGCATGAAATTAAAAAAAATTGTTTATTATGCTTATTTTTAATAAAAATACATAAGTTAAACCCAAAATTCGCGGATTTCCACTATCCCTTTAATGACCAGGCTCCGCTCGGAAAGAAGTCTGAGCGGGTTTCCGGCTGACGCTCATAGCACATGCAGCGCACAGATGGAGCTTCTTTTTTTTTTTATAGGGTTAGGGTTATATAATCGACTAATGAAAAATTGCTCGATTAAGACTAGGGATTAGTGGGATATTAGGGGGCAGCCCTGCATATCACACTGTCGGCCTGGCAGGAGGAAACTGAAGCAACTTACTCAATAAATCAATCGTTAGACACAATATATAGATTTTAACATGATTTCATTGATTTGAAAATTATCGTATTACAGCGATGAGACAAAATAATACAGCTCCTCTGCGCACCAACGGCTGGAACTGCGGCGACAGCAACGTAACTTAAAATGTTCAGTTTCTGTTCCATTGACCAGTCTTTAAGCACGGCCAGAGCTCATATTGTGTTTCCTTTAGTGTTTACTTCCTGTCTGTCTTCTTCTGCCGTTCCCTTTAGTGTTTACTTCCTGTCTGTCTTCTTCTGCTGTTCCCTTTAGTGTTTACTTCCTGTCTGTCTTCTTCTGCCGTTCCCTTTAGTGTTTACTTCCTGTCTGTCTTCTTCTGCCGTTCCCTTTAGTGTTTACTTCCTGTCTGTCTTCTTCTGCCGTTCCCTTTAGTGTTTACTTTCTGTCTGTCTTCTTCTGCCGTTCCTTTTAGTGTGTTTACTTCCTTTCTGTCTTCTTCTGCCGTTCCCTTTATAGACCCTCCAGAAAAATGCGGGCAAAAATCCTTGATCATGCGATTAAACATGCAGCGTTTTTATGTGATTTTATGCGGTGAAATTGCGGGAAGTTGCTAATTATGCAAAAAGTTGCAAAATATGCGGGAAGCGGAAAAAAGGTGATTCTTCTCCCACACCCTGTTACTAGGCTACTACTGAATGAAAGGGAGCCCTTTTAAAGAGTTTTAAAGATTTAAAGAGAATAGATTTTTTTTTTTATATTGGGCTGTCTTATTTATTTATTCTCTCTCACACACAACCTGCCACTAACGTTAAACCCCTTTACTATTCAATTAAACACATTCAATGTTTATTTATTGTAAAAGCAATTGGGCTATTTTAATCACACTCTCTCTCACACACACACACTCACACTTCTCCGCCTCATTCTGTTTTCATTTACTTGTTCGTTATCTGACCAGCTTCAATCTTGTAGGCTACTCACCTCGTTTCTTGTAGCCCTCGAAAGGGTTGATGCCTCGGTGAACGTGAGTTGTTTGGCTTTCTTGTCCGCAGCAGCAGAAAGCATTTTCGAATGTTTGAATGAATCGAAGTGGGTCGTCACCGTCGATTTTCTCTTAGAATAGTTTTCCCCCACTTTCGTGCAAGACATCGGGGTACTGCTTTGCCCGGTCTTTAGCAGAAATGTTCGTCGGTAAATGAGATGGATTAGATTTTTTCATCTTGGAAAACACTCTACGGTGTTGTTTACCTTCTGTGATGACGTCGCATCATCATCATCACTACTTCACGTCAAGACGAGTTAACTTTTTTTTTTCTCAACTTTGTGTGGAAAAATACGGGGATTATGCGCCCTTTTAATAAATATGCGCCCTTTTAAAAATCTGCGCCATTTTGCTGATTATGCGGTAAATTATGCGATCGCATAATCGCGTTTTTCTGGAGGGTCTTTAGTGTTTACTTCCTGTCTGTCTTCTTCTGCCGTTCCCTTTAGTGTTTACTTCCTGTCTGTCTTCTTTTGATGATTCCTTTGTCCTCCAGCTCTCTGTCTTTTAACCTCTTTCCTTCTGTTGTGCTGTTATCTTGTTCTCGTTTTCTTCGGATGACTAAAGATTCCTAACCTTTACATTTGTTAAAGTGTATATTCAAAAAACGATTTCATGGTGTTTTCTGATGAAGGAAAAATATATTTGTTTGGGCCCCAGCTGAAGTGTACCAGACTTTTTTCCGTGGATTTTTACGACTTAACATATAATCAATACTCCAATAATCAGAGCGTCCTAATCAACGGTCTGCTATTGAAAGAGAGCAGATGTCCAAATTGAGCAGAATAGAGCATTCAACGTGCTAACGTTTTAATAAACCATATAAAGGAGGAAATGGTTTTCCAGTAAGACTTCAGTTATACTGACACCAGATACTTTTTAAATATATTTGAATGATTAGTAAATGTGAATCGAAAATATTATTTGACACCACAGCCTTCCTTCTTTAGTGAAATAAATAATACAGAGTCACAGACTGAGCTGCTGTGTGTCTATTCTGTTTCACCTGAACACTTCCTGTTCTGTCTGTCTGTGTGTGACGGCGTCTCATTGCTCCTTTGTTCGTCTTTTAGGCATCTGATCATCGAGAACTTCATTCCCTTAGAGGAAAAGAACAAAATAGTCCACAGGGCTTACTTTGATGAAGAGGATGAATACTGGAAAACAAAGCCAATCACACGTCTAGAGGAGTAAGTCACACAGAATCATAACAAAACTCACCTTTCCCACCGTGCTGTATGCAGCGTCTCATCGTGTGTGTGTGTGTGTGTGTGTGTGTGTGTGTGTGTGTGTGTGTGTGTGTGTGTGTGTGTGTGTGTGTGTGTGTGTGTGTGTGTGTGTGTGTGTGTGTGTGTGTGTGTGTGTGTGTGTGTGTGTGTGTGTGTGTGTGTGTGTGTGTGTGTGTGTGTGTGTGTGTGTGTGTGTGTGTGTGTGTGTGTGTGTGTGTGTGTGTGTGTGTGTGTGTGTGTGTGTGTGTGTGTGTGTGTGTGTGTGTGTGTGTGTGTGTGTGTGTGTGTGTGTGTGTGTGTGTGTGTGTGTGTGTGTGTGTGTGTCAGTGACCAGCAGATGATGACCCGGCCTCTGTCTGCAGTGGGCTACAGGAGGCCTCTCAGTCACCACGCTCGCAAGTCCATGATGATGAGGCCGGACATGAGATACAAAGTAAGCTCCCCTTCACACCACTGGTGACTGGGCATGTGTCCACACTTAAACCTCCAGAGAACATTTATATATGAATCACAGACTCCTTGGTTCTGCACTGCTTATCCTCTTCCACTGAGCTTGGATGCACTGAAGACACCATACACAAAGCCAACAATGCAGAATTAACAGTGTAGGTATAAGAAGGCAAGTTGATTTAAACAGCCCATTTGAAAACAAGGAGATTCCTAGTGCTTTACCAGACACATTCATAGCATTAAGATAAAGTGCAACAGAAACATGTTCTAAAAATGACATTTGAAAACAGTCATATAAAAGCCAAGAGAATAGAGATGAAATCTAGCTCAAATAGAATACCACAGGTTTAAAAAGGAAGACAAGTTACAGTGCGGTGTAAGATATGAGTACTTATTTGATTTAAGAAAAGGCAGCAGCAAAAAGGAAAGTCTCGAGAAAGTTCTGAAACATGTAATCACTGATTTGTTAAATGCACTAACTAAGTTCTTGTATTGGACCATAATGCCCTGGGGATGTGTCTGTTTTGGGCATTGTAATTAAATACAACAATTAAGTAATTATGTATTGATCCATAAGGATTATAAGATGCACAGGAATAAAGAATGTACACTAGGTATCATGGTTAGGATTTCCCCAATTAAGCTAATATAAGGGATAGTTTGAATTGTTTGTATTGGGGTTGTATACAAACAACCCCAAACAGCCCTTTCTAACAGGAAACTAAAGCCGTTATCTCTGCTCTCTTCAGGTTCCATTTACAGAAACAGTCATTTGAGTTTAAGAACATGGGAGTTGCTGGCCTGCCTCAATGAGTTATATAGTTTGTGTTATTGTGTGACTTTGCTGGGCTGTGGTAGACCATCAACTCCTGTGTTCTGTAAGCATGCATCATTTTCAATACTTAAATGTAATATGTGCATCTGTACTAGGGCTGCTCGATTATGGCAAAAATCATAATCTCGATTATTTGGGTCAATAATTTATATCACGATTATTAAAAACGCTTCTCCATTTACTTTGAAAACATCAATTTATTGGAGAAAAAAAATGTGAACAGTATGTTTTTAACAGTTGATTACCCTGAACTTTAAGTATAATTCAACTGAAAAACCAATAAAAAGACAATTTAATAATAAAAAATTTAAAAAAGTAATAATAATAATTTTTAAAAAAAAATCGTTTTATTTAGATTACGTTGTTTTCGTAATCGTTGCAAGCCATAATCGTAATTGCGATTTAAAATACGATGAATTGAGCAGCCCTAATTTGTACGTACAGTGGGGCAAAAAAGTATTTAGTCAGCCACCAATTGTGCAAGTTCTCCCACTTAAAAAGACGAGAGGCCTGTAATTTTCATCCTAGGTATACCTCAACTATGAGAGACAGAATGAGAAAAACAAATCCAGAAAATCACATCGTCTGATTTTTAAAGAATGTATTTGCAAATTATGGTGGAAAATAAGTATTTGGTCAATAACAAAAGTTCATCTCAATACTTTGTTATATACCCTTTGTTGGCAATGACAGAGGTCAAACGTTTTCTGTAAGTCTTCACAAGGTTTTCACACACTGTTGCTGGTATTTTGGCCCATTCCTCCATGCAGATCTCCTCTAGAGCAGTGATGTTTTGGGGCTGTCGCTGGGCAACACGGACTTTCAACTCCCTCCAAAGATTTTCTATGGGGTTGAGATCTGGAGACTGGCTAGGCCACTCCAGGACCTTGAAATGCTTCTTACGAAGCCACTCCTTCGTTGCCCGGGCGGTGTGTTTGGGATCATTGTCATGCTGAAAGACCCAGCCACGTTTCATCTTCAATGCCCTTGCTGATGGAAGGAGGTTGTCACTCAAAATCTCACGGCCCCATTAATTATTTCCTTTACACGGATCAGTCGTCCTGGTCCCTTTGCAGAAAAACAGCCCCAAAGCATGATGTTTCCACCCCCATGTTTCACAGTAGGTATGGTGTTCTTTGGATGCAACTCAGCATTCGTTCTCCTCCAAACACGTCTAGTTGAGTTTTAACCAAAAAGTTCTATTTTGGTTTCATCTGACCATATGACATTCTCCCAATCCTCTTCTGGATCATCTAAATGCTCTCTAGCAAACTTCAGATGGGCCTGGACATGTACTGGCTTAAGCAGGGGGACACGTCTGGCACTGCAGGATTTGAGTCCCTGGCGACGTAGTGTGTTACTGATGGTAGCCTTTGTTACTTTGGTCCCAGCTCTCTGCAGGTCATTGACTAGGTCCCCCCGTGTGGTTCTGGGATTTTTGCTCACCGTTCTTGTGATCATTTTGACCCCACGGGGTGAGATCTTGCATGGAGCCCCAGATCGAGGGAGATTATCAGTGGTCTTGTATGTCTTCCATTTTCTAATAATTGCTCCCACAGTTGATTTCTTCACACCAAGCTGCTTACCTATTGCAGATTCAGTCTTCCCAGCCTGGTGCAGGTCTACAATTGTGTTTCTGGTGTCCTTTGACAGCTCTTTGGTCATAGTGGAGTTTGGAGTGTGACTGTTTGAGGTTGTGGACAGGTGTCTTTTATACTGATAACGAGTTCAAACAAGTGCCATTAATACAGTTAACGAGTGGAGGACAGAGGAGGCTCTTAAAGAAGAAGTTACAGGTCTGTGAGAGCCAGAAATCTTGTTTGTTTGTAGGTGACCAAATACTTATTTTACCGAGGAATTTACCAATTAATTCATTACAAATCCTACAATGTGATTTCCTGGATTCTTTTCCCCCATTCTGTCTCTCATAGTTGAAGTGTACCTAGGATGAAAATTACAGGCCTCTCTCATCTTTTTAAGTGGGAGAACTTGCACAATTGGTGGCTGACTAAATACTTGTTTGCCCCACTGTATATCAAATCAAGTTTTATTTATATAGCACATTTATAAACGATTTTTGGTCGAGCCAAAGTGCTGTACACATATAATAAAAATAGCCTACAGTAGAGACACTTTACAGCTAATACAATAGCACAGATTGTTCAGAATATCAGTATGAGAAAAAAAAAAAAAAATGCTTGTCAGTGGTGTTGAAACAGATGTTCATCTCCATGCTCCTTGTATTGACTGGCTCCTGCTCTGTCTCCAGGCTGAGAACATCATGGTGCTGGACATGGACCTGCCTGCCCGCACCACTAAAGAGTACCAGGAGCCCGTTATCGCCCCCAAGGTGGCGGCGGCTCTGGAGAGCGCTCTGCGGGACGAGGATGAGATCCAGGTGGATGCCTCGGGCTTCCACAGCAGCTTGGGATCAACCCCCCCCACCAGCGGCAGCCTCAAGAAGCCAAAGTCTGGGTAAGGAACACCGGCACCACCAGGTCAATGAATGTTCATGTGCATGTACATGGTGACACTGTTTCAAGATTCAGTGGCTTAATTGTCACAATAGCTACAGTGTAGATCAGGGGTTGGGAACCTGCGGCCCCCGGGCCGTATGCGAGACAATTTGGTACGGCCCTTGAGGTAATTTATGTACACACGCAAAAAAGAAAAAATTAAAGAAATCTAGACCGCAAAAAAAATTAAACAAGCGAGTGCCTGTTTTTCCTGGCCACGGTCAGGGTCCTTGAATACAACACGATTCTAACGTGTCATCACGCAGGCATGAAAATCACTCACCTTTCGGCGAAATTCGCCGTTTTGAATCCAAAATAGGTCGTTTGTGTGATTCATGTAGATCTGCAATAAAAATATTTTTGGTGTATGGGGGGGTCTGGGACCCGGAGTAATCTGCGGCCGCGAGCTGTTATGTGCCGTCATGACACGCATGGTGTTCTTTTTTTATATATTATAATGCAGCGCGAGCTGTGTGCTCGAGTCTTCCTGCCTGTCGGCTCTGCTGCTCCGCGATGATGGTCTAGCTTCAGCAGCCACATTACCTACGGGTGCGTTCGTTAATATTAACTGCGGTCCGGAGTCACTGTGGTACAGACTGGACCGCTGGTGAACAGCTGTTAGAACGGGCCGTTCAGGTGTTCAGAGCAGAGCTCCCTGTCGGAGCGCAGAGCGTGATGTACACTGAAAAGTTTTTCTGTCGCAATATTATCGTTGAGCTAGCTAACTAGCATACATTGTCACTATCTGCTAACGTTAGCTTTAGCCTTCGTTTTCTAATAGTTTTTTTTTCATAGGCTATAAACGGAGGTGGTATAAGTATAGATCTTGTACTTGAGTAAAAGTAGAAGCACTCAGATCTTGTACTAGAGTAAAAGTAGAAGTACTCAGATCTTGTATTTGATTAAAAGCAGAAATACTCAGATCTTGTACTTGAGTAAAAGTAGAAGTACTCAGATCTTGTACTTGATTAAAAGTAGAAGTACTCAGATCTTGTACTTGATTAAAAGCAGAAATACTCAGATCTTGTACTTGAGTAAAAGTAGAAGTACTCAGGTCTTGTACTTGAGTAAAAGTAGAAGTACGAGTGTAGGAATACTCTGTTAGTAAAAGTACTGCATTCAAAATGTTCCTCAAGTAAAAGTAGAAAAGTATTCTCATCAAAATATAGTGAAAGTAGCGACAGTAAAAGTAGTCGTTGTGCAGATTGGTCCATTTCAGAATAATATATATGATATGTTTTATAATGATTGATCATGAAAGTGTTCTCAAAGCTGGTAAAGGTGCAGCTAGTCTGAATGACTTTGTATACTGCAGGGTAGCTTGTGAATTTACTCCAGGTGGAACTAAAGTCTGATTTAACACTTGATTATATTTCACATCATTCATCCACATCTGTGAAGTAACTAAAGGGATTAAATACATGTAGTGGAGTCAAAGTACACCATTTACCTCTGAACTGTAGAGGAGAAGAAGAACAAAGTAGCAAAACATTGAAATACTTAAATAAAGTACAAGTATCTCAAAATTGTACCCAATAGGCTATAGTACTTGAGTTTATGAATTTAGTTACTTTACACCAGATGCCATAAAGATAGAAAGACTAAGCCTTGCACAGAGGCCTGACAATAGATTTTCAAAATGCTCAACAGTGCTGCCAAAATTATAAACTGACAGCTACACAATTAAAATAAATGCTTTTATATATTTCTATTAGATGTAACTCTTTAGCGTTTCTGTTATTATTAACACTGCTGCTTTAGTTGTTTTGACTGCTAAAATCCTCTGTTATTCCTCATTTTAAAGCCGATATTCCGTGGGGTCGGGGGGCTCGGGTCCTTGTCACCTTTTCCATACCTGATGAGTTTGCATCCCTGATAATACTTAGTAAGGAGGCCATAATATTTTTGACTCATGGCTGAAGTTAAGTTTCTCCAGCTCTCCCCAGGTTGGCAAAAAAATGCATCTCAAAATGCATCAGATTGATGCTTTAAAATATAGAATATTCAACATTTTCTTCCGGGGGAGCATGCCCCCGGACCCCCCTAGAGGGATAATATCCTTCTCACCTTTTTCCCCCCTGACCCGTTTTCATGCCTGATCACGTGGTATATGTCTCGTCTGACAGGGGTGTAGTGCTGACGGAGAGCACCGGAACGCTGCTCCGGCACTTCCAAAAATTGCATTACCCATAAGGAGCCGTACACATGCCGCAGTTTTTGCATGGCTGTGTCTTAGTTGAAAGCCCAGTGGTGATCTGTTCATCTGACATACTGATCATAAAGACAGTCAATAACTTTGTTGTTATTAGCATCTGGTTAGCTAGCTATGCTAACGAATATAAGAAGCTTTTTCTACAACCAGTGAGGTAAAGGCACATCTTTATATGATCATTATAGTTATAAAAAAATAAGAGAATAAAGTAAACAGGTATAAAATACTATATGACAGTAAAAAAAAGTTGTTATTAATAAACAAGAATACAGTTTAAAAGGGGAGTGATTTGTAAAATATCCATAAAGAAAAATAAATCTGCTTACAGTTCTGTTTCATATGGGTGTTGAGAGATGTGTCCATAGATCTCCTAATTTTGCTCTCAAAGTGCACCAGATTGATGATTTCAACTTCAACATTTAAAAAATAATCTTCCCGGGGGAGCATGCCCCCCGGACCCCCGTAGAGGAGGTTAGGTCCCCCCCCCACTTAAATCATGTCCACATGGATAGGAAACTAAATACATTTGCGCACATCTTGTGTCCACATCTTTCTATTTTGGTGGTCATGCCAAATGCATGCATACGCGAGTCATGGTGAAATATCTGGATTAAGAGGTTGCTTTTTCTTTGCACAACATGAAAGAAAGGCGAAATGAATGGGCTGTGATTTTAGTATTTTTAAGCAGAGGTCAATAATTTGTACGGCCCTTTGAGGATGTTGGAAATGTAAATGGCCCTTGAGAGTAAAAAGGTTCCCCACCCCTGGTGTAGATGGTGGCATTACAAATCAGTCCCAGGGAGGGTTGGGTACCAAAAACCGCTTCGGATTCCAACGGTATCGTTTAGAAATCTTAATTTTGGTTCTGATTATTGACTCATGAGGAAATGTATCTTGCCGCTTCCTGTACTGTTGGACGGGGGAGGGGCGGGACATGGAGCGAGCACAGAACCAGGAGGAATAACAGTTGTGAGGACTCACTGTCACTCTGTCACACTCTCTCTCTCACTGTCACTCTCTCTCTGTCACTCTCTCACTGTCACTCTCTCTCGCTGTCACTCTCTCTCGCTGTCACTCTCTCTCACTGTCACTCTCACTGTCACTCTCTCTCGCTGTCACTCTCTCTCACTGTCACTCTCTCTCGCTGTCACTCTCTCTCGCTGTCACTCTCTCTCGCTGTCACTCTCTCTCGCTGTCACTCTCTCTCGCTGTCACTCTCTCTCGCTGTCACTCTCTCGCTGTCACTCTCTCTCGCTGTCACTCTCTCTCGCTGTCACTCTCTCTCGCTGTCACTCTCTCTCGCTGTCACTCTCTCTCGCTGTCACTCTCTCTCGCTGTCACTCTCTCTCGCTGTCACTCTCTCTCGCTGTCACTCTCTCTCACTGTCACTCTCTCTCTCACTCTCTCGCTGTCACTCTCTCTCTCGCTGTCACTCTCTCTCTCACTGTCACTCTCTCTCTCTCGCTGTCACTCTCTCTCTCGCTGTCACTCTCTCTCTCACTGTCACTCTCTCTCTCACTCTCTCACTGTCACTCTCTCTCTCGCTGTCACTCTCTCTCTCACTGTCACTCTCTCTCTCACTCTCTCACTGTCACTCTCTCTCTCGCTGTCACTCTCTCTCACTGTCGCTCTCTCTCTCTCGCTGTCACTCTCTCACTGTCACTCTCTCTCTCGCTGTCACTCTCTCTAGCTGTCAATCTCTCACTGTCACTCTCTCTCTCACTGGCACTCTCTCTCACTGTCACTCTCTCTCTCTCACTGTCACTCTCTCACTGTCACTCTCACTGTCACTCTCTCTCTCTCACTGTCACTCTCTCTCGCTGTCACTCTCTCACTGTCACTCGCTCACTCTCTCACTCTCTCTCTCACTGTCACTCTCTCTCGCTGTCACTCTCTCACTGTCACTCGCTCACTCTCTCACTCTCTCTCTCACTGTCACTCTGTCTCTCGCTGTCACTCTCTCTCTCACTGTCACTCTCTCACTCCCTCACTGTCACTCTCACTGTCACTCTCACTCTCTGTCACTGTCTCTCTCTCACTGTCACTCTCTCTCTCACTGTCACTCTGTCTCTCGCTGTCACTCTCTCTCTCACTGTCACTCTCTCTCTCACTCCCTCACCGTCACTATCTCTCACTCTCTCTCGCTGTCACTCTCTCTCGCTGTCTCTCTCTCTCGCTGTCACTCTCTCTCGCTGTCACTCTCTCACTGTCACTCTCTCTCTCTCACTGTCACTCTCTCTCTCTCACTCTCTCTCACTGTCACTCTCTCTCTCACTGTCACTGTCACTCTCTGCCACTCTCTCTCTCTCGCTGTCACACTGTCACTCTCTCTCACTCGCTGTCACTCTCTCACTCTGTCTCTTGCTGTCACTCTCATTCTCTCTCACTCTTGCTGTCACTCTCATTCTCTCTCACTCTCTCATTCTCTCTCACTGTCGCTCTCTCTCTCACTGTCACTATCTCTCTCTCTCTCACTGTCTCTCTCTCACTGTCACTCTCTCTCGCTCTCTCTCTCTCACTGTCTCTCTCTCACTGTCACTCTCTCTCACTGTCACTATCTCACTGTCACTCTCTCTCTCACTCTCTCTCACTGTCACTATCTCACTGTCACTCTCTCTCACTGTCACTATCTCACTGTCACTCTCTCTCACTGTCACTCTCTCTCTCACTCTCTCTGCCACTCTCTATCACTGTCACTCTCTCTCTCTTGCTGTCACTCTCATTCTCTCTCACTCTCTCGTTCTCTCTCACTGTCGCTCTCTCTCTCACTGTCACTCTCTCTCTCTCTCGCTCTCTCTGCCACTCTCTCACTGTGACTCTCTCTCACTCGCTGTCACTCTCTCACTCTGTCTCTTGCTGTCACTCTCATTCTCTCTCACTGTCACTCTCTCTCACTGTCACTCTCTCTCACTGTCACTCTCTCACTCGCTGTCACTCTCTCACTGTCACTCTCTCTCTCTCGCTGTCACTCTCTCGCTGTCACTCTCTCACTGTCACTCTCTCTCACTCTCTCACTGCCACTCTCACTCTCTCTGTCATTCTCTCTCTCACTGTCACTCTCTCTCACTCTCTCTCACTGTCACTCTCTCTCTCACTCTCTCTGCCACTCTATCACTGTCACTCTCTCTCGCTGTCACTGTCACTCTCTCTCTCACTCTCTCTGCCTCTCTCTATCACTGTCACTCTCTCTCTCTCGCTGTCACTCTCTCACTCGATGTTACTCTCTCACTGTCACTCTCTCTCACTCTCTCTCTCTTGCTGTCACTCTCATTCTCTCTCACTCTCTCATTCTCTCTCACTGTCGCTCTCTCTCTCTCACTGTCACTCTCTCTCTCACTGTCACTCTCTGCCTCTCTCTCGCTGTCACTCTCTCACTGTCACTCTCTCTCACTCGCTGTCACTCTCTCACTCTCTCTCTCTCGCTGTCACTCTCACTGTCACTCTCTCTCTCACTCTCTCTCTCACTCTCTCTGCCACTCTCTATCACTGTCACTCTCTCTCTCTCGCTGTCACTCTCTCACTCGATGTTACTCTCTCACTGTCACTCTCTCTCACTCTCTCTCTCTTGCTGTCACTCTCATTCTCTCTCACTCTCTCATTCTCTCTCACTGTCGCTCTCTCTCTCTCACTGTCACTCTCTGCCACTCTCTCTCTCTCGCTGTCACACTGTCACTCTCTCTCACTCGCTGTCACTCTCTCACTCTGTCTCTTGCTGTCACTCTCATTCTCTCTCACTCTCTCATTCTCTCTCACTGTCGCTCTCTCTCTCTCACTGTCACTATCTCTCTCACTGTCTCTCTCTCACTGTCACTCTCTCTCGCTCTCTCTCACTATCTCTCTCTCTCACTGTCTCTCTCTCACTGTCACTCTCTCTCACTGTCACTATCTCACTGTCACTCTCTCTCTCACTCTCTCTCACTATCTCACTGTCACTCTCTCTCACTGTCACTATCTCACTGTCACTCTCTCTCAATGTCACTATCTCTCTGTCACTCTCTCTCGCTGTCACTCTCATTCTCTCACTCTCCCTCTGGATCTGAGAACTTCTTTCAACACTGAATGCGAAATAGGTAAACTATGAACATGGAAATCGAATAAGATGAAACAGAATGTAAAGTTAAAGCATGTTCAGTGAAATAAAATCCTGCTCATTGTAGTAATATCAGGGTTCTTACGGCCATTAAAAACCTGGAAAAGTCATGGAAATTCAAAATGCAAATTCCAGGCCCTGGAAAAGTTATGGAAAACAATATTTTTCCCAATATTTTGGAAAAGTAATCGAAATGTAACTAAAGTTGCATCAAATATAATTTATATGTTATCTAATCGCCAAAATAGTAATACTATAATGATAATAAATACTGTATCATATAGTAATGAAACGTAAAATGGCATTTAACGGTCAAGGTTTTTTGCTGGTGAGAGATTTTAGTTGCTTTAGCGTGTAGAAGCTAGTAAGCCTATTTGATTTGTTTTAGATAGGCACAACATGTTTTCATATGCAGACCGTATTTTCCTGTTCCATGTTAAAATAAACAATTTTCAGTGGTACCGCTGAGAGAGTCATGGAAAATTAGGTAAAGATCATGGTGAAGTCATGGAAAAGTCATTGAAAATCATTGGTGAAAAAGTGTATGAACCCTGTAATATGTATTTACATACTACTGCTCATTGTAGTCATATGTATTTACATATGACTACAATGAGTAACAGTGATCTTTTCAGTGTTGAAAGAAGTTCTCAGATGACCTATTTAGGTGGACTGTAAACCGATGAAAGGCACATAGATAATATTATGACAACAAGCCTTTGAATCTTGAATCTACATAATGTGATTTGGGTAGAAATCCTATCATTCAGAGAATAATAATGTAACCTTATTAGGTGCAGGCTGTTCAACTGTAACTGTTATTCCAGTAATGTGATTAACCCCTGCTCTCTGTCACTCAGTCGACCCAGATCAGTAAAGAAGTCGAGCACCCCCACATCTCCGTTCAGCCCCTCCAGTCCAGGATCCCAGCTTTACCCACAATCCCGCGGCCTGGTGCCCAAGTGACATCATCCACAGCTCAAACCACCAACCTCTCCGGTGCACCTTCCACTTTGGGAGAAAGAATGATAAAATATGGGATTCTGCAAAAAACGTTAAAGACTATTGCTGCTTTGTAAGTTTGAACTGTAACCACACCACTATGAGCTGCTGCCCACCCCCCTGAGAGGAACAGCAGCAACGCATGAAGCCTCACATCACTAACTGCTTTACACCTCTGAAGTCTTATATATCAGTCACAATGTTCTTAATGTAGAGACAAATGGACCTGTGCACTTCTTCTCCCTACCTTCCCAGGTGTGTGCTGGGTGTTGTCGTCCTCTCTTACTGTATGTGTGAACATTAGTGCAAAGCATTGTGGGGTTAACGTACAGACACGTGGGTGTGTGTGTCCACGTATCTGTGTGTCTTCACTTGGTGTACGTCAAATTGCGCTGTCTTCTATTGTCAGAGCTCTGATAATGGAACATTAAGTCTTGTATGTGTTGTTTTTTGTCTTAAAGGAACACGTCAACATTTATGGGGAAAAAGTGTATTTGCGGAGTTAGACGGGACAAAGAATAATTACACCAGAGACAAAATATGCCTGTTTGGCAGTCTCGCTCATGGAGACGGCAAAAGTCAAGAGGCTCACAAAAAGCAGAACATGTTGTTTTCAAATATCTGTTTATTGGATGAAACAATTGAGGTTTTAATGATCAAATAGAAGGTGGGTCGAGCTAAGTGCTAGCCCTTCTTTTCGCTAATCACAAATGAAGTTTACCTCAAATGTTGAGTTGATTCTTTCACTGTGTGATTGTAAATGCACAGGCCAGAGAGTGCAGCACACTGCAGACCTCTGTCACAAGTTGCTGTTATCAGTAGATGCTGTTCTTCCCGGGCCACATGAGATAGATGGGGGGACGACGACGACATCCACACTCCCACTGCGGACACTTTCTGAGATTCAGGACATGGGAGCTGGCTGAGCAGATCAAGGCCTTCCTCTCCTCTCTGGGAGTGTGTCTCAGATTCATCAGGGTTCCACGGTGCCTTAATGTGTCCTTAATCTCTGCTCTTTTTATTTCAGGTGTGCACACTTTGTTCATTCCAGCGTCAGGAGATTGTTGTTAGCATAGCATTGCTGTTAGAAAGGGGTGCACTCATGACAGCCGTCAGCCTCTCCATGACTCTGGGAGGGGGCCACACTCCCTCTTAGTTTTTACCTCATCTAACACTAAAGATGCTTTTCTCAGTACTGTGGTCGAAACACTATGGATGTCTTCATAATACACAAATCATTCCGTTTGTTTGCCTGCAGGTGGACAATATGCAGTTTAACTCTGACTGTGAGGCTGCTGCTGTGCACGGTTCACTTCCCACCTCACATTTCAACAGGCCTGGATCATATGACAAAGAGACCTTCACAAATACTTGTTCAGTTGATAGTGTTTGTTTAAAGAAATACTTCACCCACATAATCATGATTACTCACCCTGTTACCTTGGCGAAAAGTGAACTGCCTGAACATAGAGAAAACAGAAGTCTTGATGAATTGAAGTAAATGGGACCACGTTTAACATGAGTCCAATTATATGAAAACAGCAGTTTACAGACTCTCACTCAACCAGTGAAGTATCATACAAGTCTAATTTATCCAGTTGTATGCTCACTGCTTCACACATGCATGCATTTTCACTAATACCTTACTTTTTTATACACTTTGGCATGCAACGTTTCCATTAGTTTTGCTGTTAAACTCAGCACCCATTCACTTCAATTCTTTAAGACCTTTCTCCAAAATCAAGTATTCACCCAAGGTAACGGGGTGAGTAGGCTAACTATAAAGATGAGAATTGTGTGGGTAAAGTATTTCTTTAAGAGCCATCCTGGTTATAAAAAATAGAAACTTAAACTAAAGATGATTTGTTGCTGTTTGACCTTTGACTGCACACCGTATGTATTTAGATATGTAATAATGAGTATAGACTTGTTGATAGGCAATCCTCAGTCACTTTTGCAGATATATAAAATTAATTCTAAAATGGGATCCCATATTGATAAAAATCTAACTTATAATCTTTCATTTTTATATACAGATGTAGATATAATTTTCTATTCAGTTTTCTTCTTCAATAGATATTTGTTTTATTTTTTGAGCTTTGTAATTTAATGTTGAAATGTCATTTGTTGTGTCATACATGTGTCTTCTTTTGTATTCAGCCAGGTACGGGCTTTGTTTGTCTGTGTATACATGCATATGGAAAGTGAAAGTGTGGCTCATCTGTGAGACACTGAGAACAGATGGATGTTCGTCACAGTTCCTTTATGTTACTGTTCATTTAACCTCACAAACATAATCATTAGAATAAGGCTTAACTGTTGTGACTGACATTGCAATGAATGCAGTATACCTGCCACATGACTTTAGCAAGCTTGAGTCAACACTTTGGTTGTGGGATTTTCATAATTCATATAGGAATTTGGTAAGCTGAATGTGAAATATATCCCATTGCTGCATCACTGGATCCAAACTCCATCAGAAGACTGGTGTTTTGAGAGGACCATGACGCTCCTCTCTGAGGCTGGCCATGTCTATACCTTGTTTAGTTTCTTCTGATTATTAAAGACAGTTCAATCATATGTTGTATGTCCTGTCTCTTTAGGTACTTTTACTATGTGAAATGATTCAACCTATTAACTTGTACGGTTTCTAGAGCATAGTTTGAGATGTGACACAAAATGAGTTTGCTTAAAGGGACCGGAGAACAAATAAATAAATACATATTTCTCCTCTTTTATTTTTTTTGTAGGGCTATAAAGAGCAACAACTTTTGTTTTTGATGTCACACCTCTTCTAATAGATAGGTTGTGTGTCACAAACACTGACAGAATGCTGAGAATCATTTATTTGTGTAAAAGAAAAAAACACTTAAAGAATGAAGTTAGGGGCGGCATGTGATTCGAAAATATTTGTCCAGGGACAAGTTCCAACTCATCTGAAATGGCACATTCCAACCCATACTACTCACCTTACTTTGGCTTTTTTATTACATTACATTTAGCTGACGCTTTTATCCAAAGCGACTTGTGCATTCGACCAACAAGAAATCATATAAGTACATCATTTAGATATTTAGAGCTAAAACATTTCAAGTGCTACTCAACTGGCTTTCGATAAGCCAGTCCTTTATTAGTATATAAGTGCTTTGTTAGTAATTCTATCGCTCGAAGTGGAGTCGAAAGAGATGAGTTTTCAGTCTGCGCCGGAAGATGTGTAAGCTTTCTGCTGTTCTGCTCATTCCACCATTTTGGAGCCAGGACAGCAAACCCACGCGTTTTTGCTGATGGGAACTTTGGTCCCCCTCGCAGTGCGGGTGCAGCAAGCCGCTTGGCTGATGCAGAGCGGAGTGCACGTGCTGGGGTGTACAGTTTAACCATGATGTAGGAAGGGCCAGATCCATTCGCAGCATGGTAGCAAACCAGTGTCTTGAAGTGGATTCTAGCAGTTACTGGAAGCCAGTGAAGGGAGCGGAGGAGCGGAGTGGTGTGGGAACATTTTGGAAGGTTGAAGACCAGACGATGAGCTGCAGAGGTCGGATGGCACATGCAGGTAGACCAGCCAGGAGGGAGTTGCAGTAGTCTAGGAGTAGTAGTAAGGATGCGGCATGAATCACATTAGTATGCATAAAAAGTGAGGTCACACCTCACCCTACTTATGCTAATGACCCCCTTTGATATGCTAATGACCCCTTTGTTCGAGGTGTTATCACACGTAGGTGTGATATGCCCCCTGTAGTAGAGCCTTTGTTGTCTAATCTAATTAGCCTTTGATGTCTGTCCTTTGAATGTGAGGTGTTATAAGCCTTTGATGTCAATCTAAGTGTTAATTAAGGCAGTCTCTTTGAAGTTGTGTGTGAGACTGTCTGGCACCCCGTCCCCTCTCACCCTCTTCCTGTCACCCCTTCCTGTCACACCCCCTTCCTTTTGCTGTGATGCCAGAAGATAGTGGGGGGTGGAGTTAAGTAAAAAAGAAATCCGTGCAGACTAGATAAAAAGCCAGTAATTTCCACTCATCAAGTCACCAAGGAAAATGGCAAAGAGACGCATCGATATGGGTTTAATCAGCGAGACGCCTGTGACAACTTACCGCCATCCGTCGGGAGCGCCAATCAAGAAACGGATGCAGTATCTGTGCGGGGTTCAGACACCTCCGAAGTGGCTCTTCATGAAAAATGGAGTCTGGAAAATGGGGATGTTTGGGGTTATGTGTTCAACTATATGGTGAACTGCATTTCTACAATCTAAAGAATGGAGAAACGTATGGACCCCGCAGTGTTAAAGCGACGTTGACGTCAACAGATTGGGCTGTGTTAACTGACTGTGTCTTCCAGAGATCTCCACGCAACCATTGTATCAGAAAAAGCAGTGCATCAAGAAACCATCGTGGATGCATCGGTATACAAGAAACCTGCAACAAAAAGCAAAGAAACGCAAACTGTGGTCGAGATCAAAGAAGAATTTTCACCGCAACCCCTCAATGTGGAGGAAGAGGAAGAAAATATTCACCCGCCGCCAGAAGTGAAAAGAATCCTGACAAGCACCGTCTGTGAAACTAAAAGCGGACCCTCTGGTAGATGGTATTACCGCTCAAGCCGTTTGGTGACGCAGGGGAAGGACCCCTCTGATGATTTTGTTTTGGAGTATTTCAACTCTACATGTGGGGTTTTTCAAACATCCTTGCGTGTCTCTGCGTGTTTTTTCCCTATCACAACACGCCTTTTCTCAACTTGAAAAGCCTTGTCACGAGATACCTTCACTTTTTTGTAACTCTTTCTCATAAAAAGTCCCCTTGATCTCTTCTCCATCATAATCTTTGAGTTTGTAAACAGGTGGTTGACGAGGTATGCGCTCGGACACCGTAAATAATTAGTCGGTATAACTCTGTTCATATTTTTATCAAAGACCCCCTCTCAACTTGGAAACACAACAACACATGCAACACACACAACACATGCAACATCTGCAACATCTGAAACACATGCAACATCTGAAACACATGCAACATCTGAATGAATGTAACATTTATGATATTGGGCTATATAAATAAACATTGATTGATTGATTGACATGCAACATCTGCAACATCTGAAACACATGCAACATCTGAAACACATGCAACATCTGCAACATCTGAAACACATGCAACATCTGAAACATCTTCTCTTACTTTTAGACACACTTTGATGTATGCAACACTTAACAACTGGTAGAATATGAAGTACTTTGTAAGGAATTCGGTTTCTTTTAATGGCCTTTTTTTTTTAAAACACTTGTTCAGTTAAACAATGTAGGTTTTTCTTTTTTTATAACCTCACATATTTTAGTTATTTTCTGCTACCAAGATACTTTTAGATACACTTTTGATGTATGCAACACTTAACAAAAGGGTATAATATGAAGTACTTTGTAAGGAATTGGGTTTCTTTAATACCCGTTTTTTTATTTTAACACTTGTTCAGTTAAACAATGTAGGTTTTTTCTGATATTTTAGTTATTTTCAGCTACCAAGATACTTTTATTGATACACTTTTATGTAGGAACATTTTACAACTGGTATAATGTCAATGACTTTGTAACAAATGTATTTTCTTAAAGACTGTGACTCTAAAAGGCAAGTTTGTGATTGTGATTTGTGACATGTCACGCTTTTCCGGTTAGTACCCGTCCCCTTGTGTGTTATGAAGGTTTTTATGCATGTAAACGGTGTGCAGAGTCAAAACCCTCAAAGTACACCATGTAGGGAGTAAAACTCTAACACAGAAAATACCTCCCCGAAACGCCTCGTTGGAGATACGTCACTGTCCATTTGATTCTTCCGGGGACATCATGATGTCATGTCGACCCCGGAACGAAATGGACCAATCCGTGGAGCCGTTACGTTACGTCCGCGGAGCCGTTACGTTAAGCCCCCGCTGATTGGTCCAAATTGACCAATCCACGGACTTCCTCACACACTCAGTGCAAGCAGCTCTGCTGATCTCTCCTCCCTGGCTGCAGGCTGATAACAGACAGTTGGGATCGCGGCGAAATTCTCTCTGCAGACCCATTCTCTCTGCAGACCCATTCTCTCTGCAGACCCGTTCTCTCTGCAGACCCGTTCTCTCTGCAGACCCGTTCTCTCTGCAGACCCGTTCTCTCTGCAGACCCGTTCTCTCTGCAGACCCGTTCTCTCTGCAGACCCATTCTCTCTGCAGACCCATTCTCTCTGCAGACCCATTCTCTCTGCAGACCCATTCTCTCTACAGACCCATTCTCTCTGCAGACCCATTCTCTCTGCAGACCCATTCTCTCTGCAGACCCATTCTCTCTGCAGACCCATTCTCTCTGCAGACCCATTTTCTCTGCAGACCCATTCACAACGTCCCGACTGGTCCCGACCAATCGGAGCACACTGGGCTCACAGGGAGGGGGGGGGGGGGGGGGAGGGCTGGGGGGGGAGGGGGGGGGGGGGGGGGAGGGGTGGGGGGGCTGTGGGCAAGAGCTGCAACGAGCCGTTTAGTGGAGAGAGTGAATACACGTAGTTTACAGAGATGCTGTATGAGAAACCAATGTGAGTTTGGAAAATTGCACAGTATAAATCTATTCTAGTAGACCTCAACAATGGAATTATGATCAGTGGAAATGGCCATGACATGTGACCTTTAACACTTTTTTACTGACACTAGGCAGGTTTTGGCTTTTTTTCTCTTGCCAAGATACTTTTAGATACACTTTTTATTTTTTCACACTTAAAATCAATACTGATTGTAACATCCCCAAGATCTTCTCCAGCACAGAATCCCCCAGATGAAGGGAAATATTATAATGGAGTTTTTGCACTTCGGCCAAAGTATTCATATGCGGTTTTTGGCACAACGAGTGATTACATCTACAAACAATGCATACAAAGCGAGAAGACGTTGCACTTTTGTTTCATCATTTTCTTGTTTAATTTTTTCTGTAAGGCTACAGAATGTTTCGGGAAATGAAGATTCCACAACCTTTTTAAATGTTTTGTTGACAATCGTTTCCCACTGAAGCAGAACACGGGGGGAACGAACCATATCCAACATTTATTCTAGTTTACACATTTTAGCCGTGTTGTTTACACGGGGGTTACTACTCATTCTGTTTTCAATCGTCATCAACAACACACTTATTAAACAGGTATTGACTGCAATCTGATCAATATAGGCTATACAGATCGTTTTGCATACTAGTTCCCCATTTTTATTTTACTTTAAAGAAAGTCAAAGTATCGGAAAAAAAATACCTGGCTTCAATCAACCGCTGGTTATTAGTCTTCTTCTTCTCCATCCAGCTCGGCATGGATCTTTTCAAGTCTCTCCTTGAGGCGTCTGCAGTTTTTGAGCTTGTGCAGAAAAGCCTCCGAAGCGCCCTGGATCCTCCATTCAGCCGTGTAAATGTTTTTATCATTAAGACTCTGGTCAATCACAGTAATGAAGTCGGCGAGCCAAAGTCTCTTCATTAACTCGTTGTAATTGTTTCTGAAGAAATATTCTGGTATGTCATACTCGTGTTCAGTGGCGACTGGTCATTAGGGGCAGGTGGGGCACAGCCCCACCTAGTGTCAGCAGAAAGTATTAAAAATAATGATTACAACAAAATGCAAAAAATAAATTAAAAAATATATAAAATATATTTTAAGATCATGTTTAATCATCTGATTCGTCTGTACATTGCTGTTTTAGTCTGTGTTCTTCTAATTAGTGTCTACAGTGTGTGCCTATTGAGCTGTTTAGAGCCATGTGGGACAAAACCCGATCCTGCCCCTCCCTCTCTCTGTCTAAGTGAACGGTGACTGTAAAAACTACACTGCGCATGCTCAGAATATTTTCCTATTTAATGTTTGTGGTAAAAAAATAATGACCATAGGGGCACTGAGCTGCCATCCCCACCATACGGCATGTCACATCATTCAGAGCTGATTGGCTGTAAGTACGTGTGCCGCGAAAAGTGTGGTGTGTGAAGAGGAGACGAGAGAGCTGCAGTGAGGCGTCCTAAAACCCAGAAGTAAACTGCGCATGGCTTCCCTCTACAAAAAAGCAATGAGATTTCTCCATAGGATTTTAGAAAATAGCTCCAAATAAGGTCTGTGGGAAACAAACCTGTTAGATAAATGCACGTTTTGTTCAGCCGGATAATATCCACATGTCTACCATACTTTTATAATTTTCGAATCATAAATCTATTGATTATATTTATGATAGACTTTTGAAACTACCAGAACATAAGGACTTTTACAAAAAAGTAAGAGATGTTTGTCCAGAAGCAGGGGCGGCGGGTACTGTAGGCTAGGGAAGGCTAAGCCTCCCCAAATATTTGTGTCACTGCATCCTGGTAAAATAAAAATATAATGTATAATGTTTGTGTCTTTGACATTAGCGCTTCTATGCAGCCACCTGTGCCCTGTACTACGAAGCCAGTTCAACAGACCCTGGATATGTTTAAGTTATCTTAACTAACCCTAACAAACGAGATCTCGCTAAGCGGTCCTACGACGCTGCTGGTTATCAACTCGGTAAATCAAGCCAGGGTTTCTCTCTCCAGCTGAGAGCACGTTCACGTGAAAGGGGCGGGGTTAGCTACATTTGACCAATCACAAACAGGGACAAGTGTAGCCTACTGACAGCGCAGCGTCATACTTCATTAATGAAAAGTAAACTAATATTAGACAAATATGAACTTTAAACATCCATGACTTAAACATATAATCCAGGATACAAGCCACATAGCTGCACCTGCAAGGTGAATATAGAACAACTGGTTAAAAAATAACTACCGAGTGTTTGAAAGCGTACAACAGTTTTATGATATCACTGCCCCGTCTAAGACACGAGTGGATCTGACTTTAATTACATTTGAGTTGAGTGTTTCGTCATATTAATGTGTTGCTTAAAATAATACGTCTGCATACAGTATATGTGACAATGTAAGTGTTGCACGGCCAGATACGGCTCGAGAAGCTGACTTAGATAAGGAAATATTGTGATATTATATGATCGATGATCTGATTGATGATGTGATGTCAGTGTGATATGAATGATAAGTGCGACACGTCGGCGTCTTCTCTGCATACGCCAGTTTAAACTATTTCCTTTTTCCTGTAATATGACTTGATAGATTTAAACTCCGCACACTGAGCTCTGATTGGTCAGCAGACGGTGCTTTCACTGAGTTGATCTCTTTTCTATAGACGCAAAGTCAGGTAAAAAAAGTTATTTAGCCTTCCCAAACCTGAGCCTCACGCGCCGCCTATGTCCAGAAGGATAGGCAAATGGACTTCATCTTCAAGTCAAGGTAAGACTGCAATTTTATTGAAAATGGGATCTTACTAAGAGAGAACAATTCAATATTTAAATGATAAAATTACATTTTTTGGGTATCCTTTTGTTGAACTGTCTGTTTAAAATGAATTGAAGCATCAGACAAAAAAAGCTTTTGAAAATAATATTATATTTTGATTTAGGTCAAAATATAATATTTGTAAACGTGAAGAGTCAGTGCCAGTGCCTCACCAGCCATGAACCTCACTGCAGAAGCTTATAGACATCTACGTTTTTTGTGCCCCACCACTTTTGTACATATAAAAACGCCACTGCTCGTGTTGCCTCTGGCCGGGGTGACTGACTCGGCATCCATTGCAGATTTCTTCTCTGTACCGATACAGCACCCTCTCCAGAATATCAACCAACACCGATTTCACTGTGTCCAAAAACAGAGACGTCTTGGCCCCAAGGAGCAACATCAGCAGCAGTACTGCAAGATTCGGGTGTCCAAAATGGTGGTGATGATGGTAGTCCAGGAGTTTGTTCCTGGCTGCAACTCGCGGGGGGAGACTTGGTTTTTCTCAGATCCATGGCTAGTTTTCAACGGTCGTCTTAGTGGGGTCCTTCGTTTTAGATGATTTGCTGAGTGGGGGTGGGCCTTATTGCGTTGAGTGGGGGGATCTGTAGAATTGAGAGTTTTTTTCACCAGTATAATGTCCCTCGCTGTTTGACTCTTTTTAAAAAGTAATTTTTCATCTATCATTTTCAACCAGCAAGAGGACAAATTTAAGAATAAGTAATAGTTTGTCACGATTTTACGGGGAAAAGTCAGAGCGCGATGTCACATCTTAAAGACAGCTTGAACTGGATAAATGGTTAGTCTTTTTCAAACATGCCATACGTTCTGCATGTTAGTATATCTGGCCAATCGGTTTAGACCCTACTGCCCTAGACGCACGCCCTCAATAGGGAAGTCACGCAATGAAGTGAAGAGGTGTTTCATTTCACAGATCCACCTTGATTGTTGTGTGAGGGGTGAAGGAAGAGGGACGGGGGAGGAAAATTCAGAGGATGAAGAAGCAGAAAACATAACTTGTTTGTAAAACGGACAGCATGTCAGTTTCAAGAAAGATGACATCGTGTTTATGCATGACATGCAAAATATCTTGAAGCCCTACAACAACAAAAAAAGGTACAAGTATATTGTGTTGAAAATATCGCAAAAAGTCGTAATAATGTATAATGTATGCATTATTGCATGTTGTATTTTGATAAAAATCACTGTAGTTTTTCAAAAATATAATGGACAAAGGAGAGAAAAACAAAAACAAATATCACAGTATGTTGAAAAATATGAAAAAAGTAATGTTGTGTTAAAATAACATGAAATAAATCAAAGTAAAGCATCTAAAAAACATATATTTAAAAAAAGTAATGTTAGTCAAGTCAAGTTATCAAAACTGCATTGTTTCATCGAAACAGTGTTAAAATCACAGACTTTCCATTTAGAGATTGATTCTTTAAGAAACTCAATTCATTACAAATTAATGAATATTTTACCAAGTTATAAAGTTTTACATCCGTTTAGATAATGTATATATATTATTTTCTCTTTCCAGTGTTTCCTGGGACATTCTGTATGAAGCACTATCAGTGCCAGTGGACAGCAGCCATTAGCTAATCACATTCCATTTGCAGCTGGAAGCTCCACAAGTGAAGCTGTATCTGTGGCCGTGGCTGTGCAACCTTCCTCTCCAGACAGCCAGGAGGAGAGGCTGGATTTGGCTGTGGTCCAACCGTTCCCCCAAGGGCCCCAACCGATAGGGGACTCTATGGCGCTATTGAGACCCCCGACGCCAAGATCAAAAGCTATATTATAGCAACCGGTCTATGTAGGCCTACGGGCCCATTCCCCAGAGACACACATCAAGGAAACAGGTTTAATCCTCTTCTTAGTTCGCTGTGCCGTTGTCAGGCTGTGGTGGTCTGAGGCCAGGGCAGGCTGTTGTTGATAGCCTATACATGTGGCGCTTCTGAGTGGTTGTGTATGTCCGTGCGTGTGTGAGCGCATCAGTGTGCGCTTATGTTTGGGGCGATGGGGGAGGGGCCCCAAAACAATATTTGCACCGGGGCCAATCACAACCTTGTTACGCCACTGGCTCCATCTAAATATAAACTACAACAGAAACGTGAGAGAAGATGCTTCTTTTACTTATCATGTGTTTATGATTCATATAACATGACATTTCATATGTACACAACACTTCAAGTCTCTTTAAATTCAAAAATTCAAATACAAGACTAAAAAACAAACATGACAGCACAGCAACGTAAATCTGCACACTGTCAATCATCATAAACATTAGTTATGTTTTATCATGCTGGTTTATTTATGTGAATTGGAATATTAGTAGCTATGTGATCCTTTACGGTCATTCTCTTTTGGGTAAGAGAATATTATGAGATGTAAAGAAGCACTGAGACTTCTATTTGGATACACACGTTAGGATTGAGCTCAGAATCTTCTCCATAAGTCAGAAGAAGACTTAACTCATACGATCAAATATATGCATAGAAAAAAGGGAAACTTATTTTAATGGACAAAGCTCATAATAAATCTTGAAATGATGAGCAACACTTGGCCTTTGAGAAGCAGCTCGGTTAAATATGTAATGGAATAAACGCTCGCCTTTTATTTGGGAATCAGTGGAACTATGTTGGTCACTAGCTGAAGCTGCGATATAATCTCAGAATACACATCCCTCACAAAGTATGTCTTCCTTTTCAAACTATACCCCTTCCTCATGAATACACACCACGTCATGCAGACCACCAGCTTCCACACAGTCAGTGTATGACCTCTAAACTAGGGCTGTCGATGGGAGGAGCCCCCTGTCTGAGGGACCCTCTGGGAAGCTGTTGTTATGCAGGGTTTGGTCAGAATATACAGAGCAAATTGGTAATGATTTGTGTATTTACATCTATAGGTGTTAGTGACTGTTTGGTTGTATTGCCCCTCCACCCTCGCCTCCTGGTCTATTTACCAGCTCATAGAGTCCTGTTGTGAACCCTGAAATGTTGAGTACCCCAAAGTTTTATGTTAGAAATGTATAGTAGGGTCCCCAGCACATAGAAACTGCCTGATGCTTAAAATGTCTTGGCCGATTTGGACATTCTTGAAGTGATTTTGGAGGTTATTGAAGAAGGTTGAATCAACTCTGACATTTTCAGGATAAACAATTGCAGTTTTGGGTCCTCCAAAACTTGAAAATCCGGAGTACAAATATCACCACTTTGTGGTTAAAACTGCAATTTTTTATCCTGAATATGTCAGAAATTGATTCAACATCCTCAATAACCCCCAAAACCACTCCAAAATTGTCCAAATGGGCCAAGAATTGTTTTAGCTACTGTCTGCATATCTGCATTGACACCATGTATGCTAATGGTGCTAATACCCAACATATGCAGGTCTGTCAGCTTCTGTGTGCTGAGGACATGTACTTTACATTTCTAACATAAAACGTTGGGGAACTCAACATTTCTGGGTTCAAAATGCTGGCAAGTAGACTAAACCCCCCCCACCCACCTCTCCACAGGACACATTGACCTCTTTACAGTGTCAGGGAATGGAGTAAAGAAACAGCGGGGAACAGAGGGAGGGGAAGAGAATGGATGATGGAGGTGAGCGGGACACCGGGGGTCAGTAAGGGGTCCTCTTCTCTTTACGATGTGGCCCCCGGCCCCTCACTTCTCTCTGTAGTACAGCAGGTACATCTTGAGGGGCTCGGGCAGCGGCAGGCCGAGGATCCTCTCTCTTAGGAGGTTGACGGGGGGCTGGGGTCGCAGCAGCTCCCCGGTCTCCTTCTCCTCTTCCTCCCCCTCCTGCTGCTCCTCCTCCTCCTCGTCCTCTTCCTCCACAGTCTCCTCCTCCTCCACCACGGCCCCCGCTCCTCTCCCCGCCCTCCTGCTCCCTCTCATCTGCTGCTGGGCCTCCCTCTCTCCCGCCTCCTCCTCGTCCTCGGCTCCTCCCCCCTGGTTGTTGTTGCTGTCCAGGGGGGGGGAGGCGATGCCGCTGCTGGCCACCACCTGCCTGGTGGCCAGGACCAGCGCGTTGCAGCGGCGCCTGTGGACGCGCCTGCGCTTGAAGCGGGGGCCGTACTTATGGAGCCCAGCGACCGCCAGGCCCCTGCCCACGGAGAACGAGGACCCTCTGCCGCGTGATAGGCTGTCCCGTCCGTCCGTGGTCACTCTCAGGGTGTGGCGGATGCAGATACGAGCCAGCTCCTGCAACGTGCGTACCTCGTACTTGGCTGGGAAAGAAAATAGAAATTAGAAACAAAGTTTAATAGAACAAATGAAGACCTTAACTCACTCCATCAAGCCCTCTGAGGTATGCAGCCAACACAGTGGATATTTCTGAGCTCTCGCCCCATAAATGAAGGCATTAACCAATCACGTTGTGCGGAACAAACGTACATTGTAGTTATGTGGATATGAGTTGGGATTATGTTTTATAGAACAACGACAACACAGGGCTCTAAAATCTGAACCATGATGGCGAAACGTTATCACTCCTGTGGCAATGTACAAAGACAGTGCAATAACTGGTCTACTGTTTCCTTTCTTTCCTTTCACAACACAGCCCTAGAAATATACATTGCCTAACGTAGGTTACTGAAATCAATTAGAGCATTTTGCAAAAAGGAAACTCTGAAATAGAGAATGATCCATCATCAATCCATTATCAGAAGCAGGATTAGTTTATTAGTCCCCCAGCGGAGAAGATTACAGTATGGAATAGTAGGTCAAAAAGGCAAGAAATAAGAGTAAGCGAACATATTAAATATAGCGAAAGCATCATTTGATCTCCGAAGAATCCGCTAGCATGAACATATTTTAATATTTGATTGGTTATTTTAAAATATTATATTTTATATTATTTAGGTGCATCGCATGTGCTACACATAGTTTTGATGGCGAGTATTTTACTTTTCAACAACGTCTCTTCTTTACGCACCGATGGGTAAGGTCTTCAGACCAGTCCAGTCTATGCTTAAGACCAGTGGTGACTGGTCATTAGGGGCAGGTGGGGCACAGCCCCACCTAGTGTCAGCAGAAAGTATTAAAAATAATGATTACAACAAAATGCAAAAAAAACAATATATATATATAAAATATATTTTAAGATCATGTTTAATCATCTGATTCGTCTGTACCAGTGGTTCCCAAACTTGTTGTGCCCAAGGCACACCAAAGGACAAGTAAAAATCTCAAGGCACACCTATTGTGCAAAATAGCCCTTATAACACGTGTTATCACTCATATCATGTAAAATATCTGTAAATGTGCATAATTATTTACTAATGCCAAATAAAATGTGACAAAGACAACTATATTACTCATGAAATATTTATTAACGAAATATTTCAGAAATTAATTTGAAAATTTATCAAATTAGGCTTCATCAAAGCAGCAACACACTAATTTAAACCAGACAGGTCACACAATTAACATTTCAGCAATCAGCATTGAAACATGTGCTATTGTAAATATTTTTGCCGACTTACAAATTAGTGAGATACACGTGCCTGTCGGGGCGCGCAGAATTTTTTAATCCTTGGTGGCACTGAGGAGAGGGCCACTCGCAAGTCCTGTTCAACAGAGAGCCGTGACCTCCGGTTGTTCTTCATGTAAATCAGAGTAGAGAACGCCAACTCCAGAGATGGGGTCGTTACTAAAAAAATGTAATATATTACATATTACTTTAAAAAAAGTAATATATTACACTACTTCGTTACTATCTACATAAAGTAACTCGTTACTTTACTCGCCGAGCACGTACGAACTTGCGCATGCGTGAGTGGCAATAACTTTCCTTACCAGCAGGCGGCGGTAGTGTGTATTTGTCATTCAAAACAGGCAACAACCGGAAGACAGAGAAGAAGAACAGACTATGTGAAACAACAAATAGCGTGTGCGGTAGCTTGTTCTTTGCAGGTGTTTGTTGAGGTTTGACGTGGTGTTTACAGCAGTGGATAACAGCTTCTGGCCTGGACACAGTTTTCACCTCACCGTCACATTCCTGTCTATTCTTCGGACGAACTCAAAATAATGGGCATACCTCCACCCCTCGAAAGTTATCGCTGACTCAGCCATGTTTATGCAGCACTGCACGTTAGTGCTGTAGCGACGCGTCGACTTCAAAATATCGTCGACAACATATTTCCGCGTCGACGCGTCGCTACACACACGTGGGTCTCCCAAAGCAACAAGCAGTTCGCAATCGCACTTCAAACACAATGGAGACTGAAACGGCTACCACCTCCTCCTCACAGGATTGCGCACGAAGCCCCCAAACGAAAACATCTCGCCCTAGGTCTTCAAAAGCATGGGAATATTTTAAAGTTAGTCCAAAACGCAAAGATATTTATATATGTATATCTCACTGAGACTGCTGCATAGCCTAGCAGAAGCAGCAGCTAGCTGTGGTGGCTACCATTAGCAGCTAGCATTTGCTCCGATTTTTACATAAAATGGAATTATGGATTATAAATTCAATCATTTTTTTATACATAGACGTTAAAAACCTATGGATTAACCGATTCAGCCGCGTTTTTTCTCATTTTATTGCCATTGAACACGTCTTTTGATCAGATTACGGTGGTGAGACGATCTCCCGAGAAGCTCTGTGAAGGTACGTGTTGTGATGACTGTATTTGCTTCCCCTGTCGCGAGTCCGGATCACTCAGTGATGATACTATATACCTACATAATCTGTGGAGTCTCAGCTTTAATCGGATATATTGTATGTGCAGCTATGATAAGTAATAAGGGTACTTTTATCTTGAGTTCTGTGCCAATGTCCGTTAGCATTTTTCGCTCAAGGGTCATTTAGATGCTTCTTATGAGACTTGTGTTTTGTGTTGGTAAACATGGTTTGTATCGTCAGTTAGCTGAGATTATTTCCGTTAATCTGGTATAACACATTAATAGGTTCTTAAATATTAAGATCCCCTGAGACACAGTATCGTGAAATTTTTTTTTTTACATTACGTTTTTTATGAATTGAACAACAGAAAAATAATCGTTAGATTAGTCGACTAATCGATCAAATAATCGCCCGATTAATCGTTTTCAAAATAATCGTTTCCCCCCAGCACTACTGCACGTGGAGATGTGGACGCGCAAGTCGCGCAGATTACGTACATATAAACCTACAAAGTACTGATATAGTAAATTAAAAAATTATTATTTTTGTGTAGTTTTATATTGCAATAATAAAGTATGGTCGTCACAAAATCCCACGGCACACCCGGACTTGCCTCACGGCACACCAGTGTGCCGCGGCACACCGTTTGGGAACCACTGGTCTGTACATTGCTGTTTTAGTCTGTGTTCTTCTAATTAGTGTCTACAGTGTGTGCCTATTGAGCTGTTTAGAGCCATGTGGGACAAAACCCGATCCTGCCCCTCCCTCTCTCTGTCTAAGTGAACGGTGACTGTAAAAACTACACTGCGCATGCTCAGAATATTTTCCTATTTAATGTGTGTGGCAAACAAATAATGACCATAGGGGCACTGAGCTGCCATCCCCACCATACGTCATCTCACATCATTCAGAGCTGATTGGCTGTAAGTACGTGTGCCGTGAAAAGTGTGGTGTGTGAAGAGGAGACGAGAGAGCTGCAGTGAGGCGTCCTAAAACCCGGAAGTAAGCTGCGCATGGCTTCCCTCGACAAAAAAGCAATGAGATTTCTCCATAGGATTTTAGAAAATAGCTCCAAATAAGGTCTGTGGGAAACGTAGCTGTTAGATAAATGCACGTTTTGTTCAGCCGGATAACATCCACATGTCTACCCTACTTTTATAATTTTCGAATCATAAATCTATTGATTAGATTTATGATAGACTTTTGAAACTACAAGAACATAAGGACTTTTACAAAAAAGTAATAGAGATTTTTGTCCAGAAGCAGGGGCGGCAGGTACTGTAGGCTAGGGAAGGCTAAGCCTTCCCAAATATTTGTGTCACTGCATCCTGGTAAAATAAAAATATAATGTATAATGTTTGTGTCTTTGACATTAGCGCTTCTATGCAGCCACCTGTGCCCTGTACTACGAAGCCAGTTCAACAGACCCTGGATATGTTTGAGTTATCTTAACTAACCCTAACAAACGAGATCTCGCTAAGCGGTCCTACGACGCTGCTGGTTATCAACTCGGTAAATCAAGCCAGGGTTTCTCTCTCCAGCTGAGAGCACGTTCACGTGAAAGGGGCGGGGTTAGCTACATTTGACCAATCACAAACAGGGACAAGTGTAGTGCGCAGCGTCATACTTCATTAATGAAAAGTAAACTAATATTAGACAAATATGAACTTTAAACATCCATGACTTAAACATATAATCCAGGATACAAGCCACATAGCTGCACCTGCAAGGAGAATACAGAACAACTGGTTAAAAAATAACTACCGAGTGTTTGAAAGCGTACAACAGTTTTATGATATCACTGCCCCATCTAGACACGAGTGGATCTGACTTTATTACATTTGAGTTGAGTGTTTCGTCATATTAATGTGTTGCTTAAAATAATACGTCTGTATTTGTGACAATGTAAGTGTTGCACGGCCAGATACGGCTCGAGAAGCTGACTCAGGTAAGGAAATATTGTGATATTATATGATCGATGATCTGATTGATGATGTGATGTCAGTGTGATATGAATGATAAGTGCGACACGTCGGCGTCTTCTCTGCATACGGCAGTTTAAACTGTATTTCCTTTATCCTGTAATATGACTTTATAGATTTAAACTCCGCACACTGAGCTCTGATTGGTCAGCAGGCGGTGCTTTCACTGAGTTGATCTCTTTTCTATAGACGCCGCGTCAGGTAAAAAAAGTTATTTAGCCTTCCCAAACCTGAGCCTCACGCGCCGCCTATGTCCAGAAGGATAGGCAAATGGACTTCATCTTCAAGTCAAGGTAAGACTGCAATTTTATTGAAAATGGGATCTTACTAAGAGAGAACAATTCAATATTTAAATGATAAAATTACATTTTTTGGGTATCCTTTTGTTGAACTGTCTGTTTAAAATTAATTGAAGCATCAGACAAAAAAAGCTTTTGAAAATAATATTATATTTTGATTTAGGTCAAAATATAATATTTGTAAACGTGAAGAGTCAGAGCCAGTGCCTCACCAGCCATGAACCTCACTGCAGAAGCTTATAGACATCTACGTTTGTTGTGCCCCACCACTTTTGTACATATAAAAACGCCACTGCTTAAGACATATAATATGTATCAATAGTCATACTAGTATTTCCATATTTAACTCACGCAGTGGGACAGTCTTGGGTTTTCCATTGGTGCTGTGTTTGGGCAGCGCCAGAGGGGCGAAGGATACAGAGATGATCTTTTTGGTCTCCCAGCTGTTCGGCCCTGTGCGGGTGATCTTGGTCAGCTGCAGGAAACACAACAGGAAGACAGTCAGTGTGTGTTCAGAGGACGGGGCTGTGTGCTATTGTTTTCTCTGCTGCTCACAGTCAGAACTTCAAAAAGCTACTCTCTATATTTAGTCCAAATTGTCCAAAGAGTGGTCAATTTGTGTTAATGAAATATACTAAGTCAATTCATCCCATAATAAAAGTGTCAAAAGAAAATATTGGAAAAGCTTTGGAGATCATCTCCATGAAAACTCCACAGTTACAAGGTCAAATATCATTATACAAAACCACAATCACTGATCCAAGACAACATTTATTGGCTCTTAATAAAAACACAAATGAGTGTACAATCATGAATCAATATGGACACAAATATCTGTTAGTAAAACAATATACCTGCTTTTTTACATTGAAACGCAGTGTGTGACATGATTTTATAACATTCATATATGCAGTGCATGACATTAAGGATTTTGGGAGATGGCCCTGTGGGCCATCTAAGCTAATTTACAGATGGCCCTGAGCCCAATAGAGATTGCCCTGAAAAATGCGCGTGGACGAAATGACGCAAGAAGGGTTTGGGGGGCCTCCCCCTAGAAAATGTAGATGTTTGCAGGTCTTAGATGCTGTCTGGTGCATTCTCTAGACTGAATTATAAGGTGAACCACCACAATATTATATTGTACAATTTCAATTGTATTCTTCATTTCCCTCTTTTGTTTGTGTTTGCTCGCTTGCATGCCCTGCATAGCTATAAGAAATACTTAAGTTGTTGGTCAAGACACTTTCCATCTGATGAAGGCAAATGCCTTCCCAGATGTAAAAAAGTAGAAAACATTACATTCAGTTATAATTGCCAAAACAAACATTATTTACACTATTATGGCCCCTGTTAAAAATGTTTGTAATGTTATCTACTGTAAGTTGGTCGAACGAATGCCTCCTCATCCGGAAGCTGACCGAGCAGACCCGAGCAGCAGTCGAGAGGAGCCGAGCGCATCCGCGAAGCACACAAAATGGTGAAGTCAGAGTTCCCGTTAGCCGGCAAATCTAAATCTCTTCGGTCAAAATGTCCGGTCAAAATAATTTCCCTTTAGCGCAATACCGCTTCAGTTGCGCCACTTATGTGACAGACAAGAAGAGTATGTGACAGACAAAAAGAGTCCATTCTAATGTCTAACACTTAATGTGGAGAAAGAGATGTCCTGTATGGGTTGATTGTGTGTTGATCTGTTGGTAATGCCTCGGGGTTCCGGTGGGCATGTAAACAAATGCATAATGCTGCGCTATACTTTGTGGCCTCACCCAGTTGCATAGCGACACTTATTGTTTAGGTGTCTTTTAATAAGCAGGTAGTCATATCATTAGCTAGAACTAGCTGGATCTGATCGATATGGACATAAACTAGGGTGACCAGACGTCCCCGTTTGTATTGGCCGGTCCCCGGTTGAAACTGTCCCCGTTTTTTAATATACGTTAAAAACACATAGCAAGGTGAAATAACACGTGTCATGTCAGGAAACACTGGGTAAACAGACTGTGGTCGAGCCAGCCCCCACTTCGGAAAACACAGTCAAGCCAGCCCGCACGTTGTATTGCGGTGTGCGAATATCCTATGCATTACGGTAGAGGCCTGTAAAAACTGCCTTCAAAATAAAAGCGTTTACTCTGTCAATAACAAATATACCTAAAAAACACACCAAACATATTCATATATACTGGAGCTTAAATTAAGAAATATGTACTATATAATGTGATCAATAATAATTTAAAACAAACTACGTATAACTACCACATTATAACTGAGTGAATGTAATTAATGTAAGGATACAGTTATGAAGACATATCTGACATTTCCACTGGGTGACTAATTTCAATTGATGTTGACACCATCTCACAACACTCCTAAAATAACATTACTTTCTGAAGCACAATTTAAAATGTATGCTGTTTAAAATCTCAAATTAGATCTATTGTCCATCTATATTTTTATTATTATTGAATGGAAATCGTCCATAATCAAAGAGTCATTCGAATTCAATAAAATACTTATTTCACTTCCTTCTGTTTTTGTACAAGAATAAATAAAAAACTGTCAAATTATCAAAGACTTATTTCACTCCAGGGTGATAGCAGGACAGCCCATCTAGTCACTCAGAGAGAATCTGGACAATCTGATGTACAGTTTCAAAATAAAAGACCTTTGAAGTCTCATATATTAGCTATCATCCCTCTGTTTTTAGATAAGAATAAAACAAAATCTATCCAGTATCAAATGCTTATTTCACTTCAGGGTGATAGCAGGACACCCCATTTAGTCACTCAGAGAGAATCTGGACAATCTGATGTACAGTTTCAAAATAAAAGACCTTTGAAGTCTCATATATGAGCTATCTTCCTTCCGTTTGTATCCAACAGTTCAAATGTTCGAATTACATTGAACCAGAATTGTCCCCCTTTATTCTTTAACAGTGAAGAAAATTGGATATGTTATTGACCGCAAAACTCAAAATGTCCCCGGTTTTAATTTTGAAAATCTGGTCACCTTAACATAAACGCAAGTGAAGTCTAATCTGACGGGAGAGAGAGATCAGCTGCTGCTGACGAGTCGACACGCAGCTCTGCATGATCACATGCAGCGGTGAGGACAAAACACACACTTCAGGTTAGAATATCACACGTAGCTATTTTAATTACCTCTCAAACTACCTAAACTAGTTATAGATATGTTTATTTTTACTGTCATTACTCATTACTGGATCCGCGAGCTGCATGATACTGGCATAATAGATTGCCCGATCGGGCAACCAGCAGGTGAGGCTTCATTGCCCGAGCTAAATACTAGATGGCCCCGGGCCATCGGGCAGTCCTTAATGTCGAGCCCTGCATATATGTTTTTATAGAGCAGCCTTACCCAGTACTTTTTGTTGTTGACGAATATTAGACATTTCTATCTGTTTATAAGTGTTAAATGAATCATGTGGTGCCTATAATCGCTAAACAGAGAAGCAGTTTGCACTGTGCTGAGTCTCTGTGGCAGAACACCCACCTTCTCCTCCAGAGGCATCACCAGGATGCCCCCCACCTTCAGCAGGTTCTTCATGTAGTCCTCATGCTCCTTCTGCACCCCCGCCCCACAGTACACCCGGTCGTACTGACGGCTCTCCGGAGGAACCTCCAGACAGTTCCCCACCACGAAGGAGGGCTCACAGAACTCAAACCTGCACAGAGACAGGAGAATGAACAAAGAGTTATACAAGGAAAGAATAAACTGAAAAAATATGCTGTAAACTCTGACAGATTTTAGACACGTACTTGTCGAAGCTGTCGCTTGTTTTGATGAAGGAGTCGAGCTTCTGGTACGCATACTCAATCACATCAGCATGGAGCTCGATCCCATGGTTCACTCCGAAGGGTCCTGCAACAGGTGGAACAGCTCAGTTTGAAATAAGACACATTAACATGGATTCCAAACACAGTATGTGGTGTGATGATGACATAACCTGCGTTAATGAAGACCAGTGGGAACATCCATACACCTTTATGAAATGTCTTTAAATGTGGCCCTGAGCTCATTAAACGCTAAGTGGACGGCAGCAGAAAATCTATTTTAATGTCAGCAATAGTCCTATAACTACCGATAAATCAACTGGACTTTGAGGATCCAAAAAATGCAATTCTAAAAGTCTGAAACATTAAGCTTCTGATGAAGAAGGCTTGCTTTTCACTGAAATATTGTCTCCGATATTCTTTTGACTTTTTGTAAAAGAAAAATGTGTATTCAGTTCAGACCTCGCTCATTGATTAAATGTCATCTCAATGTCTCCATAGATTTTTTTTTAAACCAGATTTCAGTTTTTCCCTTTTAATAATATTCAACAATCTGTATAATTGTTTTGGCAACTTTTTAGGATTTTTTTTTTTATTGTCAAAGCATGTGGGATGTAAACTCATCTCTTCCAGTTCACACACCTTCATGCTGCCACATGTTTACTGAACATCTCTTCTAGGGCTGTGCGATTATGGCAAAAATCATAATCACGATTATTTGGTCAATAATTGATATCACGATTATTTTGACGATTATTCATTGACCATTTATTGAACTTTAAAACAAATAATATTATACCAATAAACAAGATCAATAAATGTGTTGGAGCGCACTTCCAAAACCATACTAAACATATATTAATATGATAAATAAAAATAAATTAGACCAAAATAAATGAAATCAAATATGTTGCAGTGCACTGTCACAACCTACTGAAAACTCCTTAACATATAGCCAACATTTTAGTAAAACATATTCAACATATTCCACTCAGTTAAACGTTGAAGGCTGGCCAACCGTCATGGTCCAGAAGTAACAGGAAATAAATGTTGAACTACAATTTAAGACCAAATAAAAATGTTTAGGCCACCATGGCAAATGCTGGTAGGGCTGCTCATGTCATCTCTTAAAGATTTTTTGCAAGAAATACCAGCCTGTTTACATGGTCTGGTTTCAGAGATGAGCGCAGGCAGGTGACAATATTGCCACCTGTACTGAAGACCCTCTCTGAAGAGGAACTTGTGGCAGTGCTGCCACATATGACACAGGAAAAAAAGAAAAGACTCTGAAGAACCCTTTCTTTGCCATTATATAAAAATAGTGTTGCTACAAAAGTATAAATTAGGCTTACTAATAAGACAACTCAGATCTGAAGCTACACAGTAATCTGCTGCAGCAACAGTGCAATAAAAAAGACAACATTAATAGAATCAAACCCATTTTTTGTTGCATTTTATTAGAGTATACAAATAAATGCCTTTAAAATAGGATGCAAGCAACACTAGTTTCTGAACTGATAGACTATAATCAATTTAAACAGAACAGATCTTAATGTTTGCATTCTTATACCATTTTGTACAATAATTATCATGAATAAATTCAAACAAACTAAAACTTACAGCAGATTAATAACGGTATCTAAATTGAGTTTTTATTATATCAAAAACCTGTTGAAATGCTACTGTCCCACAAAAGCGCGTCGCAGCCTCCAGGAAAGCTTCTTTCATAACTTCGCCGTCTTCGAAAGACTTCATGTGTTTCGCAAGAACGTGACTGACACGATAAGATGCTATGGTAGCAGCCTTGCTCTTGTTGTTGGGCCTGGTGAAAATGGACTGTTGTGCATTTAGCTGTGCTCTCAGGCCCCTCCCCTTTTGGAGCGTAGGGCAGAATTAGGAGGGAATTCCGTCTCGTAGCGTTTGTGCACTGTTTTGAAATGCCGCTCCTAAATTACCCTTCTTCGATAAAGCCACGTTCGCATTGCAGATGAGACAGATGGACTTTGAATTGGAATAGATACAAAAATAATGATCCTCCCACTTGGAGTGAAAATTATATATTTTGGGCTTTTTTGCTTCTGCCATAATTGCGGTCTTGTGTGTGTGCGGACTGTCACTCCTGTTGACCATCCATGCTGTTGACACGGACAACGTCAGCGAACTTGTGCACTGCTCACCAGCCACGCCCGGACACATGGGGTGAGGCCGGCCAATCACAAAGCTTTGATGCGTTCAAGTGCATTATTCTGGCACGGGAACATTATGTTACAGGACATTAACGATAAAACAGAATATTGTTGTTCTATTTTTAGACACATCTCGCGATCGACTGGGAATCTCCCCGCGACCCTTCTTTTTAACTAGTTGCTGCTCTTGTTCTGACATCTTCGCTTGCGCTGAACACTCACAACACATGTCACTCCCACGTGGCCGAGTGGGCTTTTAGGGAGGGGCGAAAGCGCACCCAGCAAAATAATCGTATTTTGTCAATTATGCTGTTTTCCTAATCGTCGCAAGCCATAATCGTAATCGCGATTAAAATACGATTAATTGCACAGCCCTAATCTCTTCCCACATACCCAGTATGAGGCCGACCATGGTGCTGAGGTACCCGGTGCCACTGCCCAGGTTGAGGAAGGAGAGTCCGGGGCAGAGGTCCAGAGCCTCCATCACCTCAGAGTAGATACAGGGAGCCGACAGGTGGATGTTCCCATGCCGCCACGCCAAGTCCTAACAACACCAAGCATTCATTATAACCAAAAATCTCTCAGACTATAAAACATTACAAATGCACCCAAAAAACAAAACAAATATCCAGGGACTAATAACAACAACATGTCCCTCCTCCCGGCTCTCTCCAAACCCTGTCATCACCCAGCTGTGACTCTCTCTGGAGCCAGTATGCTCACCTTGTAGGCGTTGTCCCGGTACTCGTCCAGGTAATAGTCAGCGCGGTCGATGGCTCTGAAGGCCCGCTCCACCAGGTCTGAGCGGATGTAGTACGCCTCCTTCAGGTTGTCAATCAAGTCGTCATTGTCCTCTCCGGCACTGACAGCTCCGCCCATGTTGACTGAAGGCAGAGAGGAACAGGCTGTTTACCATCACAAATAACTTCACGACTTGAAGTGGTGTATGTGAGGACTGCAGGAAGCATTGCTGCACACTGGGCTCAAAGCTGGACACGTCTACTAACACTTCTATACTTCTGCTCTCTCAGACTGACTTTTCAAAGGCAAAATAAATCAAATCAAGTTTTATTTATAAAGCACATTTATAAACGATTTTTGGTCGAGCCAAAATGCTGTACATATAATAAAAATAGCCTACAGTAGAGACACTTTACAGCAAATACAACAGCACAGATTGTTCAGAATATCAGTATGAGAAAAACGACACCCTTAGACCCTCACATCGTACAAGGAAAAACTTCCGGAGAAAACCCACAGTTTGAAGGGGAACATGGGAGAAATCTCAGGGAGAGCAACAGAGGAGGGATCCCTCTCCCAGGACGGACAGACGTGCAATAGATGCCGTGTGTAAATCGAAGAGATAATACATTTTACAGCATATAGACCGAATGTTAGGAAATGCATGTGTCTGTAATAAGAAGATGAATCCACGAGGATGTCAGCTACAATCCTGTGGAAGCCATCAGGGAAGCAGCATGGCGAGACCCAAGGCAGGACCGCAGAGACAGGTTCAGCCACGACCCGAAGTCCACGACTTAATCCAGAACTCAGGATAGAGGATCCAGGACACAGGACTACAGCAAGAGGATCAGCCTCGACTCCGGATCCCGGCGTAGATATAGACAGGGGTGCACATAACTTTTTTGCCCTGGTTCTCAAAGGAGCACCTGGAGATGTTGCTTGGTGCTCATCCTTAAAATGAAATAAATAAACCGGTCTTTATTTGCCAGACACACGGCACTGAACACACATGCAGAGGTGAACACAGAACACACATGCAGAGGTGAACACAAGACAACATTAGCACGACCAGTAATCCTACAAGCTGTCATCACTACCCTCTGACTGTTCTCCTCACTGTCTTCCTCTCTGTCAGACATGGTAGCTGATGATGTAGGCCTACTACTTTCTCTCTGGTTGAGTCTGTGATTAGCTGCTTGCATCCACAAGTCAACAGCTGGGTTTGGGTCGAAAGTCCAGTTTTAAAAGGATATTTTTGGTTACTGTCCTATAGTATACATTGGAATGATTTCAAACCTGTTTATCTCAATAATTATAAAGGAGTGCCTTGGAAATATGTGTTTACATAAATTGTGACCAAACCGTTTGAACTTAGACTAAAGTGAACTATCTAAACACTCAGAGTCCTTTACCTCACTGAGCTGTAGTTATCAGCCTCTCAGTCTGACTGGAGAGGACTCTCCATCCACATTATTGTAGAAACATCTTCTTCTTATATCCGTTAGAGCAGCTAGCACCAGATTCTAATAACAACAGCGCTGGTACCGGTGCACCCTCCCTCTCGCTCGCACTTTGGCTGTGAGCTGCGGGCGCCAGACAAGCCAACATCCCCCATTTTCATCACTTACAGCGCCCATCGTACAGGGCAAATGAAACGTGTAACCGGGGTGAAAAGGGTGTTACATTTACTTAATTATGAATGTTGTTACATCAAGGCCGAAAATTAGGATGAGCCCCAACGGTCAAAAATGTTTTTTTTCCCTCCCAGAACTGCCAGCGCAGCGCCTCCACAGATCTGGCGCCCTAGGCGAAAATCAACGCCAGTGCGACGGGCCGGCCCTGAGTTCATATGCAACTCGCAAATATCTTTCTCTCTCTCTCCTCTCTTTTCTCTTCTCCCTTCTCTCTCCTCTCTTTTCTCTTCTGTCTCTTCTCTCTCTCTCTCAATGTTGGTACGCAAATGCGCCTTTTTTCAAATGACCCGGTGCTCTTTTTTTTGGCCGAGGTGCGCATGCGCACCAGTTATGTGCAGCCCTGGATATAGATACAAAACAAGAACAAAGATTTGGCTGGGTTAATCGGAACAAGAGAATACACAGACACAGACAGAGAGGGAAAAGGTCATTGGATAAAAGTTATTCTTGATAACCCTCTAGAAAGATCTCATGAACTTCCCCACTCAATCTATCAAGACCCGAGCAGTTCTATTAGATATAGGATAAGAAACAGAGATAGGGAGCACAACAACCTATCTCTTCGTCAGATGCACTCCCCCGCTTATCTAATGGCGCATTTCCACTGCAGCGGGGTAGCCCCGTTTAAGCGTCCCTAAGCGTCCTCGCTCAGGCCTCGGGCTGCCTCGCTGGCTGTCCGAGGCCGTGGCGCATTTCCATTACAGTTTAGGACCTGGGGTAGCAACGCAGTGTAGGCGGGGCGATCGGCTTTGTTTTTGTTCACATTTCGAGTTGTTCCGTCGAGCTCCCGCTGGATTTGATCATCCCCAATGAGATGTAGAAACGTCGTCACCTCCTCGGTCGACCACGGTGTGCTTTTCTTATTAGACGTTGCCATTTTTGTAGCTCATCCGTTTACAAAATGCTGTTTATAAAAATGCTGCAAGCTTGCTTCTAAATATATATGCGATGCTAGGGATGAACTCGCGCGCAATCTTGTGACGATTCTCTCTGACCAATCAGCAGTCGAGAGTGTTGACGTCACTAGTTCAGCCCTGGCCCTGGTCTGATAGAACCACGATTTTATGGGGCCGGAAAAAGAGGGAAAAAGTACCCGCTAGCCGGTGCTATGCTATATGGAAAGGCCACCAAAAACTGGCCTGGCCGCTTGAGGACGGTTAAGGACGCTTAAACGGGGCTACCCGCTGCAGTGGAAATGCGCCATTAGCGACTCTGTACCCCGTTACCCTCTACAAGGCCATAGACCAGCAGAGGGACCGTTACCCTCTACAAGGCCATAGACCAGCAGAGGGAAAATGGGGGGTGGGTAAGGGTAAGGGTTTTTAAGAATAAACCGCAAGGGTCTAAAGGGAAAAAAGATGAAATATAAGGTACTTTATTTTAAGTAATCCTATCTACTATTCCTATATTCGAATAATGTATAAACTATTTTAAAAATACTTTATGAAATCCTATGTTATGTTATAAATATTAAAATAAAGAACTACATGAATAAATAAATAACTAAATAAAAAATACTTTGTGTGTTCTTTCATGATTTATATAAAAGAAAGCAGACAACTGCCAAAACACCCACCTACATCTGAACTAATTCATCCATTTGGGAAAATATAATGTTTAAAACTTAAGTATAAATGCTGAATGAAGCAGTTTACGGCTGAAATTCAGTGTTCCCTTGGCTACGCTTGTTTCTCTAATAACTTACGACACGGACACAAATCAACTAGAATCCATTCTCTCGTTAATATATCTTAGAAAACAACTAAGATCTAAGAACTGTCTGGTCAAAATGTGGCTTCAAACTCAATAAAAAAATCAATTTAAGAAAGTTTCTGGAAGACAATGCTGACTCATGCTCAAAGGGGATACAACACTGTTACAGGAGACAACATTTCCACATGACTTTGGTTGAAATAACAGATATTAGAAACATTTGAGAAAATGTAAGTATACAATTCAACAAACTATAGAAAAAAGGGGTAGTAATTCTTCCACATATCATACCTATAAATCTGATTGTTGTGATAACTTGGATAAACCCTTACAATCCCAACCTGTGTATACATGTCTGATCCCACAGTAAAAAGGAGTGGGTATTGTTTGAAAATGTTTCCTATAAGAGCTCTTTTGAGACTTTATGCACAAACAAGCGGACTGTAGAGGCCTTAGGCCCCGGCCACACGAGGACGAAAACAGTCGTTTGCGTTACTGTTTAGTGTCATATAGACCGTTCGGCCACACGAGGACGACAGAATACGGCACTAAACGACTGCGGAAACGATAACGGGTCCCAAGGTGGATAGAACGGCATACACAACACTCTGGGGGGTCCAACGGCTCCGTGTGTACGCCCTATACGATCATTTTCTGATAGTGATGAGGCCCGCCTCTCCCCACCTCTGCTGCTCACCCCCGCGTCAAAGTAAACTGCACACTGAATTCAGATTATTTATCTGGACATAAACGCGAGTGAAGTCTAATCTGACAGGACGGAGACACCTCTCAAACTACCTAACCTAGTTATAAATATGTTTATTTTTACTGGATCAGCTGCTGCATGAGACAGACACTGGCGCTGTCTGAAGAGAGGGAGGAAAAAGAGAGGCTCCGTGTATTTTATTATTATATTATATAGAGTCGTTATTCATTTGTTTTAAAGCTCAATAAATAACAAAGAAGACTTTTGACCGGCACTTTTATAATTTTGTCGGAAGATTTAAACTTTAATACACGTTGACCGGCGAAAAACTCTGCCCGGTTCCCTCGGCCCCCACCGCGGAGAATAAACAGAAGGGCAACCATGACAACCATGCTTCTTCGCTGCTTTTGTGGAGGAAGTTACAGCGCCACGTACAGGCTCCTGCATATGTACTGCAGCTTCTCCAGCGGTTGGAGCTAAACGGAGCGGTCTCGTGTGGACAGACACTATCCGGATGACTATTGCGTGTGGACGGAAGCTTTTTTGCGATTGCGTTTGCGTTAATCCTATGCGTTTTCGTCCTCGTGTGGCCTTAATGCAGCGTCTGGCAGCAGAACACAGGGGAGGAGGGGGGGGGGGGGGGGGGGCCGTGTTAAAAACAACACCAAGGAGATCAGAGGGCAGCCAAATGCTGCCCATGGTCATGAGTTAATAAAAGAACAAAGGGGGGGGCATTTACATATTCCTGCATCTCCGCCTTTCAAACCTCTTGTGTTGAAGATGAAGAGGATGTGTTTCAGCCACAGAATCAACCAACAGCAGATGTTGCAAGAAAGTACATCTACAATCTTTCCCCTCTGAAGATGATATATTATATATACAGTGGTGGAGAGCAACCAAGTACATTTACTCAAGTCGTTTCAGGTGCTTTACTTGTGTATTTACATTTCATGCTACATTAAACTTCTACTCCAGTACATTCTGGAGGTACATATTGTGCTTTATACTCCATTACATCAGTAACTATTAAGAGTTATTATTATCAGTTAATACATGATGATATACTATTATGGATTAAGATACCTGGTAGTATAAAAACGTTAAAGAAATTAGCTCCAACTGTATAAATTGCAATGATGAACACAATAATGGATAACAATTATAATCCTAATATATTATATATATAATTCTGAAAATGGCCATTCTGACCTATGAGTATTTGTACGTTTTGGTACTTTAAGTACTAAGTTTGCATGCTAAAACTAAAGTGTTGAATGCAGGCCTTCTACTCGTCTCACTTACGTGCAATATATATATATATATATATATATATATATATATATATATATATATATATATATATACACACACCACTGTATAATTATTGTTTTTACTGGCTGCTCTCTCGTAGTTAGCCAATTCAACTACTGTAACACATCTGTAATACCTGTGCAATATATACTTTTACTACTGTTATCTGCAATCACACTACATACATTACATTACATGGAATTTGTTAAATGCTTTTATCCAAAGCGACTTACATACATTTAGTACTGTGGACAATCCCCACAGGAGCAATTTCGGGTGTGGAAGTGTCTTGCCCAGGGACACAACGACATGCTGACTGCAGTGGGACTCGAACTTGCTATTCCCTGATTCAAAGTCCAGCACACTATCCACCGAGCGCCTACATGCTACACTTATTTGTAAAGATAATACTTTTACTGTTAGTTTTCCACCTGGATGTGTATTTTTGTTAATTGTAATTTGTGTAACTTCTATTTTTATCTTTTATATATATAAGATATTAAATGGGAGTCTATCAGGATGTTTTATATATTTGTTTATCTTACTTAATATGTGATATGTTTGGCTCCTCGCTTTAGCTGTAACAACGTGTCTTTCCCCTCAGTGGAAGGTATTCTGGTGCAGTTTGTTAGCCTGACCACACGAGGGCGCAGCTCCCCGGACACTAAGCGCTTTAGTAGCCTGACCACACGAGGGCGCAGCTCCCCGGACACTAAGCGCTTTAGTAGCCTGACCACACGAGGGCGCAGCTCCCCGGACACTAAGCGCTTTAGTAGCCTGACCACACGAGGGCGCAGCTCCCCGGACACTAAGCGCTTTAGTAGCCTGACCACACGAGGGCGCAGCTCCCCGGACACTAAGCGCTTTAGTAGCCTGACCACACGAGGGCGCAGCTCCCCGGACACTAAGCGCTTTAGTAGCCTGACCACACGAGGTCGCAGCTCCCCGGACACTAAGCCCGTTAGTAGCCTGACCACACGAGGGCGCAGCTCCCCGGACACTAAGCGCTTTAGTAGCCTGACCACACGAGGTCGCAGCTCCCCGGACACTAAGCGCTTTAGTAGCCTGACCACACGAGGGCCGCAGCTCCCCGGACACTAAGCGCTTTAGTAGCCTGACCACACGAGGTCGCAGCTCCCCGGACACTAAGCGCTTTAGTAGCCTGACCACACGAGGGCGCAGCTCCCCGGACACTAAGCCCGTTAGTAGCCTGACCACACGAGGTCGCAGCTCCCCGGACACTAAGCGCTTTAGTAGCCTGACCACACGAGGGCGCAGCTCCCCGGACACTAAGCCCGTTAGTAGCCTGACCACACGAGGGCGCAGCTCCCCGGACACTAAGCGCTTTAGTAGCCTGACCACACGAGGTCGCAGCTCCCGGACACTAAGCGCTTTAGTAGCCTGACCACACGAGGTCGCAGCTCCCCGGACACTAAGCGCTTTAGTCGGCTAGTAGGGTTCTAAACTTCCTGCAGAAACACTGCTGCCATTTGAAGCTTCGCAAATCATCTGCACATTCAATAAAAAGCTGTCGCGTGCATTATTTCAGTGACAGGGTTCACGGGGACAGTAAAGTCCCGCAGGTTGGATTCCCGCACAACGCACGCTGCACGCGGCTGCTGTTTGCACCACTCGGGGATCCCAATTCGACTAACACTCAAATTCAAGCACGGTTAGTCAAACTATCGTCTCGTATGAACAACTGAAAGTGAATATTACATCTAAAACAGAATGTCACGCGGTGGCAAGGTCGACACCAACAGAAATAACCGCATTCTCTTCGCTGGAGGAGAAAGAGCGAGAGCAGAATGATAAGAGCTAGCTGCTGCAGGGTAGAGACAAATAGCTAGCTCTGACTGAGCCAACATGGTCAAATATGATAAAGCTAATGTTATACCTTGTGAAAACGCAGACTGGTGTTTTCTGAAGCCGCGGGTTTCCGTGTGTTCAGCCTTTTGTTGTTGTGGAGATCCAGGGAGAAACACACCACTGCTGCCTGGATGTAAACATTCGGCCAGCTGACGTCAGACGTCAGTACGTAACGTAACGGCGGAGGAGCCTACATTGTGCACAGAGCAGGAAGTGGAGCACTGAAGATACGAAGATGGGAGTCTTTCAGGATGTTTTATATATTTGTTTATCTTGTTAAGCAGGTCATATTCATGTTTAGAGTCCATTTGTTGGTCTATTTTAATAAATAAATACAAATCTTTATATTATAATTTTGTGTCTTTTATTGCACATTTTTGACTTTAGCTTATTATGTTTGTATAATTACTGTGATTATTTTATTTATTTCATTCTCAACCCAATTTGACTTGGATAAATAAAGTATTATATTTTAGATTCTAATTCTGATTTAATCATTTTGAAAATAATAATACTCTTTATCTGCCGTGAAGCTAAGCCCCTGTCTCTGCTCTAAAGTCTCTAAACTAGTCCAGTGACAGATGTTGGATTTAACCAATGCACCTCCCTTGCTCTATAAAAGTTATACCATTTTCTCTAAAGTCAATACAGGAAAGAACATGTCAGAATCAACAAACTGCCATATTAATATTTGTTTGCAGGATCAATATCTTGTAACCAAATACTGTCCCGATAATCACTAATTATTCATTTATGTTACATTTTGTAACACTTCATATGTAGAATATTTACATTACACTCCTATGGTTTTTTTATGAAGAAGAACACAACTCAAACATTGAACTGTATTTTTTCACAGTGTGTGATATTTCAAACATAACAATATCATTCATTTAGATTCCTTATTAGTTTTTTTAGTACTGTACTTTATTATAGACTTATTATTCAGGCAGAGTTTGAACTTGAAAAGTCAACTCTGCCTAAATGCCTGCCATATGCATTCGACAGAAAAACACTTTATACATTAAAAAGCCAAAATGCAATAAGAAATGCATATGGTGTTGTGGAAAAGAGAACTATGTATTTTAGCGTTTCACAACGTGTTTGAGAATAATGATTATAGTTTGAGGAGTGTGCCAAATCAAAATGTAGAGATCTCCAGAGAGACGTAAGTTATATGATAAACACTGTACTCCAGTCACACAACATGCTGATTACTCAATGCTCCAGCAGAGGCCAGTGCTGCCCAACATACAAACTACATGTAACAGCACATTAACACGCACTCAGTCAGGTCCCCCATTTTGTTCAGCCTGCAGTCAGGAGGAGTGTGTTCTGAGTGTGTGTTCCTGCTGTGTGAATGTATAATATACAGTTCACCTCAAACACACACACACACACACGCACACACACACGCACACACACACACACACACACACACACACGCACACACACACACACACACAGAAGTGGAAAGTAAATAAGTACATTTACACAAGTACTGTACTGAAGTACAATTTTCAGGTACTTTACTTGAGTATTTCCATGTTATGCTACTTCTTATTTCTACTCCAATACAGTTCAGAGGTACATGGTGTACTTCTACTCCACTACATGTATTTAATACCTTTAGTTACTTCACAGATGTGGATGAATGATGTGAAATCTAATCAAGTGTTGAATCAGACTTTAGTTCCACCTGGAGTAAATCCACCAGCTACCCTGCAGTATACATATATTTGAGAACACTTTCATGATCAATCATTATAAAACATATCATATATAGTATTCTGAAATGGACCAATCTGCACAACGACTACTTTTACTGTCGATACTTTCACTATATTTTGATGAGAATACTTTTATACTTTCACTTGAGGAACATTTAGAATGCAGGACTTTACTTTACCCACACAATTATAATGTGTTAATCATTTACTCACCTTGAATTCGTGCAAAAAACTGAATATAGCTTGGATGCCTCCTTAGTGAACACATTTGAAGTAAAAGAATATTGATGAATTAAATGGGGGTCGAGTTAAACAACAAAGCAATATTAAAACATCTGTTCAAAAAAGATAATGTCTGTTCAGTATAATCCATGTCCAGTAAATGCTCACTATCAACTTCCACTAAATGTGCACTAAAACACTTTGAAATAAACAATTGTCTGCTTGAACTCAAGTATAAAGTGTTCTGTATTAAATATTGCAGTTTATGCATGTTTCATCATGTTCCGTTCTCTATATAGATGGATATCTCGGGACCCCCTTGAAAACGAGATGGTGCATCTCAAGGGGTTTATCCCAATCAATACAAATGTCTATATATATATATCTATGTAATGTCTTGTCTTTTATCTGGACCCTGAGTCTGTAATAAAGTTTTCATTCATTCAATCTATATAAAAGTCAAAAATAGTTAATTTTTAACTACATAATAGTCTTTTGGACTATTTTACACAATACTACCGCCTCACCAGATTCACTTTTCATTTGTCATATATTTACTTTTATATATTATATATATACTGCATATTATTGTTTGTACATTTATTGTATACATTTTATGATCTTATAATTAACAACATTTTATATTTGCTCTTAATTCAAATGTAACTTAATGTGTATGCACCGTAGTACACCAAAGCAGATTTATTGTATGTGAAAATGGTCCCCACAAAAGAAGTACAAGAACACACACACACACACACACACACACACACACAGATTGGACAGAGTCGTATTGTCTATGATTCTTTATTTTTGTTTTTCATAGAGAACATTTAAAATGGTTCATACCCCCACAATAACTGACATCACTTCTCTGGTCTTTAACACTGACACAGGAACAAGGGAACATGTACACAGGTACACAAACACACAGTCACAAACATCCCATCTACAGTGTTTACTCCCCCAACAGAAACAACTTAAAACAGAAACATCATGAGACCCCGAGACACACAGCCAAGGCCTGTCCCACTTTACAAAACGGTGCAGTAGTAAAGGAACGACCACATCTACAAAAGTAACAAAAATGACCATGCAATCTATCAGGGTGGAAGTGCTTGTAATTTTGGAAGTTTTGTACTTTTTTAAAAGGATATCAATATCAATGGGTAGAAAATCACCAGTAAAAATAGCTCATCTCTGTAAAAACGTGCTAGCAGGACACGCCTTGGCTGTGGAACTATTTTCTTTGTCACAAAGTTGTTGTTTTTTGTTGCTCTTTTTGTCTCCAATACAACAACAATAACACTGTTTCTTCTTAATACAAATATGTACAGAGACTTCCACATGTTTCAAAATAACGCCCTGCACACTGATGCATTATCTAGGGATGAAGATGATTAAGATGATGTTTTTCAGATTCCTTCACAGAAACTGTCCGTGCAGTTTGGTACCTGAATCCACACAATGATGAGATCACAGTTTCTTTAGCCTAACAGGAGTGTGTACTTCTGTATCTGTGGCACAACAGAATACCCTCTACCTACACAGTAACCCCCCCCCCCACCCCGCCCCAAGATACCGACACACTGATACAAAATGAAATGTTGATTATAATTAAATGTATTATGAGATTTCACAAAACTGTATTAGGTTAGTTGTCAGCAATAATATTAAGTTTAAATTAAACATATTAGGTTCAACTTAATATTATTGCTTTCAACTAACCTAATACAGTGATGTGAAATCTGTTGACATAAGACATTTAATTGATGTCAACGGTTCAGTTTTTTCAGTCCAGAACACTATTAGAACCAGGTTTGCCAAATGTAAACTACCATATGTTGAAATGAGTGGAGTGAGAAAGGCACACATGATAAGACCACACGGCTTGTAACTACAGCGGGGGGTGGGGGGTGTCGGGAGGGGGGGGCTTTTGGTTTTGCTCAGCTCGATGAAAAGTGCCTCGACTAATCATCCCTATCTTTGAGTCAATTTCTACGTCAAAGTGTGACCAGAACCTGGAGCTAACATGGAACCAGGATGCGAAGGTGTGCCCCCCCGCCCCACCTGCTACCCCCTTCCGAAAACACACAGCTGGGTTTTGGTCTGGCCTCCCTGAAAGTTCCATCATGTTCAATTCATTTATATTCCGGCTGGAAACTGGGGCCCTGACCAGCCTGTTTTTAATTTCTTTGCTATTTAGAATAATCTGAATAAAGCTGCCCCCCCCATCACTCTGTACTCTCAGTAAATCAGAAACATAGAGTGCGTGGGCACAGGACCGGCCGGAGGCTGCGTTTGCTTTCTCCGCTGACATTTTTCTGAAAATGCGATGCTTTCATGGCCTCAGTGTTATTCATTTACATACCTCAGTAGACAATTTCATCAAGCAGTTTAAAAGGGGTCATGCCATATCAAATAAGTTACGAGAATATTCACAGTCTTTAACACTCTTGGGTAGTATTCTCGTGCATTTTCAAGAGAGGAAGAATATACTACTTTGTTAACCAAATGCATCAAAATGATCTTTCCTGAGGAAAGGTTACACAAGACATGAGGAAGGGGAGGGCGGGTTTAAAAGTCATAAAAGCTTTCGACACAGCTTTTGAGTGATGGACACATATTTATGCAACGAACGCCTCCTCCTAAAACAACGGGGAGATTGTGAAGCCTGGCTAATACATTTCCCACTCCCACACACACTTCTCATTTCACCCCCCCTGACCTACGGCTCACTGCTTCGGCTGCTCTCCACGCTCACCTGAGAACCACTTCCTGCTTCCTGTCAATCTCTTTTGGTTTTAGTTTGGAAAGGAAAGTAGCGCTTCCTTTATTTATACATTTCTCTGACAGCTGAATCAAAGACACGTCTCTATGTAACACAGCTTGTTGTCTTCTGCAACAAATAATGCCCCCCCCCCCAGCGGAGGGGAATATTGCCTGTGATCTATTAGGGTTCTTACAAGTCAAATTCTGGCATTTTCTTCAGCTATTCAGAAAGTGCGCACAGGAGTTTCATTCTAAATTGGCTAAGAGCACATTTACAACATGCCTCTGACATCAGAGTCACACACGGTATGGTACTGCAACAGATCACTCAAAGGCAGGTCACACTGAACCCCCCCCCCCTCCAACAGCAGAGACATGGGCTCGTAGCAAGCAGGCCTCACTAGTAAAAATACAAGGACTGCACAATGCTGCCAAACACTAAGTGCAGAACATTATTCAGAGGCATTTTTTAACTATACATGAACTCACATTACACTTAGGAACCAACCATGTAGTTTCAAATGACAGTAACTTCAGATTCAGTACAACACACAGTATGTTTCTGACATTTCTGGATCAAGGACAGACAAGTACAGGAAATGAGAAGAAAGAAACCTATGAACACTTCCGACTGTATGATCAAACAATGCCTTCAGCTTGAGTGAATGGTTTGTTTAAAGCCACAGTTGAGCAGGTCTTATGGTATTAAATCAGGTGTAACTGGCTCCTACTGAGAGCGGTCTCCTACACAGCTAGTGATCCTTTGTTCAGGTTATACAAGAGAAGAAGAAGTCAACAAGTACACTGGAAAAATATATGTATGTTTATATTCATATATATAGCATCTTTAAAATCTATTTATACAGAATGTATATATAGTGTACTAATGGCCATCTTGGCAGAGAAATAAAGGCATCTGAAACAATCACCGCTCTCTGATGCCATGGTCGCCCGGGACCAGACATTTGTTACATTGCAGAAATGCGAAGAATCAGGAAAGAAAGTGAGTTCTTTTTTTCTTCTTTTTTTAGTGGCACTTTGTGCATCAAAAAATTAAAATCTAGAGTAAGGCTACAAGGGTGTGTATGTTTATCTGTTTGTCAAAGGAGGCCATCCTACAGTTTCCTCGATATGTTGCTGTGTGTTGTGTGGTGTGTGGTGTGTGTGTTGTGTGTGTGTGTGTGTGTGTGTGTGTGTGTGTGTGTGTGTGTGTGTGTGTGTGTGTGTGTGTGTGTGTGTGTGTGTGTGTGTGTGTGTGTGTGTGTGTGTGTGTGTGTGTGTGTGTGTGTGTGTGTGTGTGTGTGTGTGTGTGTGTGTGTGTGTGTGTGTTACACCCATACATCCGGCCTGAACCACTGCTGGATCACAGCTCTATATATGTACCATTGTGCTGATGAAAGTATAAATAAGACAGAGTTAAGAAGCATCCATGGTACATTACAGAGTTAGGGTGAGCCGGTGCTGGCCGCTACAAAGCGCTTGGGAGAGGTAACATTTTTCATTTTTGAAAATAACTTTTCCTGGTTTTCTTTTACCTGACAAAAGCAACACACAGAGAGCAGAGAGCAACAGAACACGTGTTAGTTTCTTTTCTGTCTTTACAATCAGCTGCTGGTATGTCTAGGTATAAGCCTAAGTAATCAAACAGTATTTGTATTGATTTTCTTTATTTAAATATTAGCAGTGGAATCTTTAAGACTACTCAGACTCAACCGTTACATCACAGAAATAAATAACAAAATAAATATACAGCCATATCAGTCCATTTCTTTCATATTAAATAAATAATAAATACATCGTTTCTTTTTGTCTCAGTAGTGGGCTTCTGAATGTAGCAGTAACAGAAATAACATTTAACAAAACAAAAAAATAAAAACAACTCCAAAAGATTTTTGTAAAATTATCAAAAGGTTTTGTCAGTTATAAAACATCTGCACTTAAAAAGGTTTTTAAAAAGTACTCAAAACAAAATATGCCTCTTCAGTTCTCTATATAGTTTCTTAAAATATGAACTGAGACATCTGCAAATGGCATGATAATCAGTAAGGATGCTTTCGTGTGTGTGTGTTTTACAAAACAAAGTTAATAAATAGATTGCTTCAAATAAATAAACCTCAATAACATAAATGGCAATAAGTTACAATTTAAAAGTTCACAAGTTTAAATAATTAATATATATAACAATAATTAATGTACGAAAAAACTAGTCATTGAAATGAAGTGCAATTC